CTTAAGATAGAAAGGAAATATTTGGATAGTTATAGAATCTTAAATTAAATATCAATTTTAATTCTAGTGAATGGGAATAATGGAATAATAATTAAGAATGTGAGAAAAACTTCCCATAATCTGCTAAATTAAAACCATTCTAAAAAGTTCTTATTGTCTAAACATTCAGACCAGAAAGAGTTTAAAGTGCATTGAATGAGTTTGTCTGTCCAAATTTAGGCATACCAAGTGTTAGTGGTCAGACATTCAATTTCTAGACTGTTGCTTAAGAAGAATTGACAGCTTAAATTCCATGTCTATTCGTTGTATCTGCTGGTAGTGATCCTTCTAAGGAATTAGAAGAATTTGCTGAATAACAAATAGGAAAGTAGAACTTCTAAGAAATGTCTATGGGAGGTAATTAAAATGAATTAGCATTAACATTGATAAAAGAAGCTGCTCAAAAAGGTTAGTGGGTATGTTTAAAGAATTTGCATTTAGTTATTAGTTTCCTTCCTTTATTAGAAAAAACCATAAAACAATTAAAGCCACATCCAAATTTCAAATTATGGCTTACAACTGAAGCTCATCTTAAATTCCCATCTATACTTCTTGAAACATGTTATAAGGTGTCTTATGAAGCACCTCCAGGATTGAAGAAGAATTTATAAAGAATAATAACCAGTTGGCCCACAAATAATAAATAATCGGTCTATCAAACATAATTACTGTTCATACTCACTTGGTTCCACGCTTTAGTTTAGGAAAGAAGAACTTATATCCCTTAAGGTTGGAGTAAATTCTATGAATTTTCGTATGCAGACTATAAAGCAGGAGTCTAAATAATTGAGAATCTATTATAAGAGTCCTAAACTATCTCTTGGTAAACCTTATATGGATTATATGAAAATGCCATTTATGGTGGTAGAGTTGATAATGAATAGGATATCAAGGTGTTGAGAGCATATTTAGAAACTTATTTCAATTAAAATAAATTATAAAATGGAACTCTAAGTACTGGACAATAAATACCATAAACTAATCAAGTTAAAGATCTTATTAATTTAATTAATAAATTACCTGAAAATGATGTTCCTGAGTTTTTCGGATTGCCTAATAATATCGATAAGGCTGTTTAAAGATATACAATATAAAGAGTTGTCAGTGGTTTGAAATCTATGAATAATATTGTTGGATCTGAAATCAAGTTTGATAAAGAATTGTGGACTAATTTGTTAAGTCCTCTCATTAATATGTGGGATCAATTGAAAATAAGGGACACTATCTCAGTTACAAATTAATAATTAGGTTCATTGGATCCAATTGAATCATTTATTTATTTAGAAGCCTAATAGACTTGGAATCTGTATCAGATTATTAACCATTCCTTTGAGAAATTGAAGAATGTTTTATACAATAATGGTTTATTGACTAGTGACATTATTGATGTTGGATTATTATTTATAAAAGATATTGTACCTTAGAAATGGAGCAATTTCTGGGAAGGTCCTGATGATATCAATTTATGGTTGAAAATATTTATTAAGAAACTCAATGCTATTAAAATATGGATTGATAAGATACAAAGAAAATAACAATTGGAAGAAGTTGATCTAAGTGAGTTATTCCATCCTGAAATTTATATGAATGCCCTCAGATAAAAAACTGCTAGAAAATTAAATATTCCATTAAATGAATTAAAATTATAAGCAGATTTTGATAACCTTAAGAACCCTCTTGTAGTTAAATTAAAGAATCTCTTATTATAAGGATGTGGATTCTCCAATGGTCAATTAGTTGATGATATGAAAATAACATCAGAATTTATCTAACTACCTTCTTTGAATATCTCTTATGTAGAGAAATCGTCGCCAGAAAAGAATGGAATAGGGGTAATTTGAATATTATTATATTTCTAGGATTTCCCAATTTATTTAAATGCCAGTAGAGAAAAATTACTATGCAGAATTAAATTACCTCAATCTGGTCAAATGAACGATAAAATCATAGCTGGTGTTGCATTATTTTTGAGCCAAAACGATTGATTAATTATATTCAATATAAGTATATATATAATAGTTTGATATCTTTCATTTCAAATTGCAATATCAAAAATAAATACGTATTTTATAAATAAAATTACCCTAACATCATTTAAATTCCTATATTTTGAATTATAAAAGTAAATAAAAAACTATTAATATATTTCATTATATCAATTAAATTGAAGAGGAATCTTTCATCTCGCAACATGTTTTTATAATTGAAGGTAATGATGATGCTAATTTTTGATGTACAATGTTAATTGTTTCTTCTATTATTCTTTTTAGCTCCCTTAATAAATTATTTTATTAACTCTATGTTTAACACATGGTAATAATTTATTAAATAGAACTATTCGAAATGGTTTCTAATGTTTGATCTAATAAATCTAGTTGCTCATCATCACATTAAAATGAAATCGATCTTAGAAATATCATCAATATATACAAATCTTTTTATCTTTTTAAGTTACGAGTTTATGTTTCTTTTGTACTAGTTTCCTTTTAGATTTAATATAGCTTTTATTAAAGATTGGCAATAACTTTAGTTTTCTCTTCTAATTAAGATTAGAAACTCTCTTTATCTGAATCTCGTAGTTTGGCTATTTAATCATATTTAGTTTTCCAATCTCTTACAGATTATTGATTATCTTCATCTTATTTATGTCTTTCTTTAACTAAATCATTAAAAATATTAGTTAAATTATCATATTCTTTTTTCAATTATTGGAATTCATTTTTTAATCTTTAATTTTCAATTTAGTATTTTTGAATATCATGCATTTTTCTTTCATTAATAGGTGAATTAGTTGCAGAGCCCTCTTGAATAATAGTGTAATTTTCCTCTTCTTTTTTTTTCATTTCATCAAATAGTTTATTTTTAGCCTCCAGTTCAGTTTGGCATTTTTCAAAATCCTATTACTTTTTTGATAACTCAGACTTATGTTTTTCTATTATTTCTTATTTTTATTAATCTTTAGACTTTAATTAGGATTGCAAATCTGAATTGGAATCTTTCAAGTCTTAAATTTCTTTAAGCAACTTGTTTAGTTTAGATTAGGTTTCCTACTTTTCTCTTTCCTAAATTCAGTTAATAAAATACCCTATCTTCATTAATTTCGTCTTGTTTTGGTATCTCATATTAAATGTACTATTCTAGGAATTTAAGGGTTGATAGTTCAAATTCAAGATTATTGATTTTTTCTTTTAATTCACTGACTTCTTTTTACAGAGCCTATAGATGAAGATTAAATGATACTTTTATATAATTGGCACTTTATTTTAATTTTTCTCCTTGAGTATTAATATTTAACATAAAATAATAAATAAGTGATTTTATAAACAACTGGAATATGGATTTCATTTATGGAAAATATTCTTAACTTTTTCAAAGACACCTTCATGAGCAGATGATTACCCTTGTGTTTCGCCTTTTTCTAACTATAAAGTTATATAATAACGATACTTTAGCTAATTCTTCAAATAGTTATTTTTATTGTTCAGTCAATTTGGTAGGAATTTGAATTTTCAGATTCACAACTTAATCACCTCTTTGATTAGAATTAGGTGCCAATTTAGTAATTCCCTTAAATTAAAAAAGTATATTACTAATCCACTTAATCTAATTTTTTCACCATCCTAACTACCTGGTTTTATACTTATTTGCTATTCACCATTAAGTGTTTTGATCTTAACTTAATCTCCGAGGACAGCCTAAGCAACAGAAATATAAGCATTAGTAATTAAATCATATCCATCTCTTTTGTAATATGAATCTGGCTTCACCTATACCTTAATTATCAAATCTCCAGCCTTGCCTCCATTTTCTCCAACATTTCCTTTGCCAGTCACTCTTAAATTCTATCCATCTGCTATGCCCTTTGGAATATTCACGGCTTCAGATGTAGCTTACTTCTATATTCCAGCTCCTTTGCAAGTTGTGCCTATTTAATATAAATTAAGATTACAGGGATTTTTGATTGACACTCCAGTTCCTCTACATTTAGTACAAGCCATTTATATTGTCATTGCTCCTTATCTGTAGTTAATTGAGCCTCTACCACCACAATTAGTGCATCTTCCTGGTGCTGTTCCTGGCTTGCATTTGGTTCCATTACAAGTAGAACATACTCCAATCTTCTCAAATTGAATTGTCTATTATGCCCCATTTACACTATCCATAAATGATATTTCCAATTAGATAAAAATATCTGCTCCTTTGATTTGTCTTTCTGATTCTCCTCCCATATTAAAGAATGATGCAAAATCACCAAAGATAGATTCATCGAATTAGAAATCTTGTGCTTTGCCTCCTCTTGCTCCTTATCTAAAAAAGCTACTATATGCTGCAAATGGATCCTAAGCTCCAGCCTAATCCTATTCATCTCCAGTCATTCCAACTTAATCATAAACCTTCCTTTTATTATCATCTGATAATGTTTCATATGCACTAATTTATATTTTCTATCGATACTTGTTAATCTCTGCAAACTTTTCCTTTGCATCTTTGGATGGATTTGCATCTGGATGGTATTTCTTTGCCAATCCATAATAGGCTTTTTTTATGTCATTTTAGGAAGCATTTCTTGGTACTCCCAATAGTTCTAGTTTTAAATTAATATAGATTACCATAAAGATCCTTCTTAGATGAAAAACTAAGAAAGGGTACATTTGTGAATCTTTTTAGAACGTTCCTAGTTAAAAATTGCATTGTCAACCGGAAATAAATTAAGTTATTTTATAAATTTATTAAATGATTTATATTTGTGAATCATAAACATTTAACAATTTTGCATCAATCTAGAAAATTCAGTCTTTTTTAAATCAAATTTATTAATTAATATTAGAAATAATGAAGAGTCTTTTCTTTTCTTATTTTATTTTAAATATAGATAATATTGGATATGACTTTGATTAAATATAATCATAATTCATTAATAATATCTTTATGTTAATTTATAATAATAGATGATTGCACTAATTAAAATCAACACATTTTTCTTTGAACATGCATATTATTTCTATTTTTTAATACATTTTCCAATTATGCACTCTTTCTCAATTTTTCTTAATCTTTCTCTTTGTTTTTGTGTTACATAAACATTTACATAATTGTCATTTTAGTATTTTAATATTTTGGTTAGTCTGGAGATCTAAAAGGATTAATATTCTAACAATTGCTGAGATTTGAATTTTTTGGAGATTCAGAGGACATAGTCTTTTCAATTCTTTAACTTTCACTGTTCTTTAACTTTGGTCTATCAGTTAAATTATTGTTTATGAAACTATTATCATTATCCTCAAATAGATTGAACAATTTTTGAATCAATGATTTAAAGTCCTTCCCTTCTCTTTCATCTGTTCTTCCTACAAACTATCCTATCAATTAATGAATAACATTCAAAAATTGATATAATTTATTATTATTCATCAAATTTTGAGATTATGACATATTATCATAAATGGATTTTTATAAATTATTTTAACTATTGAAAGCATCAAATAGATTTTAAGTTAATTTCTTTTATTCATCTAATTATGCTTATAAAGTAGAAATTTAATATTCATAAAGATCTTTATTAAAAGTAGATGTGTTATGTTCATCTTAATTTTTAATTCTTCTGCTTGGTTGTAAAGATGAATATTAAGAAACATTTTCTGTTTCTGCTAAACTTTATTTTAATTTAGTAATAGTCTCTGATTTATCTGAAATCTCATCCTTCAATCTTTCAATTTCCCTTCTTAAATTAGCTATTTCTTATTGATTTAGGTTATCTTATTGTTTTTATAGAGCTTTAACTTTATCTAATTCATTTTGATATTGTTTTTATTTCAATTCTGAATTCTAAATGAGAACATCCTTCTCATTCAATTGATCATTGTATGACTTTTCAATTTATTTCAATTTATTCATATATTCACTTACCTTATTATCTACAGTTGTTTAAGATTATAAAATTTGTTATTATTATCTCAAATTCTTATTTTTTTCAGATTCTAACTCAATTCTTAATTGATTCTTATCCTTTTCCATTTAAGTAATCTTTTCATATAAATCATCTTCCTATTTCTTGTATCTCTATTTCTACTCTTTAAAATCCTCTTATATCTAATTTCCATTGTCACATTATTATCTTAAATATAAATGTGGTATTACTTCAATTACAATGATAATTTTTTGAATTCATATTAAATCTTATTCATTACATTTTATTGTATCTATTGAATATAATCAATTTATAAATTTTGATTGGCCCCACTATTCCAAATCATAGTTTATTTCTAATTCAAATCAACTACCAATTCCCAAATGTTCTCTTATTACTATTGTTCATTTAATTTATTTAAAAATTGTATCTTAATTTCTTCCAATTATTCTTCATGTTTCTTATTCAGTCTTTATTATGCATCAACATATAATTCTTAAATCTATTACTTAATCATTTTCTTAGCTGTACTGAATTCCTCACTTTCTTTATCTAAACAATTGTTCTCCAAATAATATTTAACTTTTCTCACAAACTACAAATAAATTAAATTATAATACAATATGATGTGATTTTTCCAATTATTCCTATGAGATTCCATTTTATTGTAATAATTCATCTATGCTGTCTTTATAAATTTTCAAACCCCCTATAAGAGTTCTATTCAATTCCTATTTGCATATCATTTACCATTGTGTCTCAATAACTGGCATATTACCTTCATTGATTGTATTCACAAAATGTCTAAAATACTGATTTTAAGAATTACTTGCACATTTCAACAAAACTAAAGGGAGTAGTTGGTTTTCCTTTGTATTATTTTAATGAAATCTTATAAGAGAACTTCTTTCTTAATGCAGTAAGTTGTTCTTAAAATTCAGTTCTTAATTCTGTAAATTTCAACGAAGATAAATGCTGTAAATCTTTTTCATCTTAAGTGGGTCTCACTAGTGTCATACAATCTCGTTCTTAAAAAAACTATGTAATGTGTCTTCTTATTTTATTCTTATTTTCTATTGTTTCACTAAACCCTTTTAATGGTTTCAATGCATTTTCTAGATAATCCTTAGGTGTAATTTTGTTTCCAAATTCATCCTCTAATCTTAATGTAAAATCCCTGAGGATCCATAAAAATGAAGGAAATGTCTCAAAGAGATCCTTCTAAGTTGATTCATCTGTTTTTTGTAACATTTTGGTTAGATTAACCTATTGATTATTTATTAAGGTATACTATTAATCCCAAATTTTGTAATGCCATATCATCGATAGTACCAACACTATTATAAATGAAATACGAGCTCATCAACATTGCCAATAGAAATATTTTAACATCATGATTTTACTCCTCCTCCAATGAACCTATTCCTTCAGTATCTATCAAAATTGCAGGAATAGGTTCTTTTGATCTTCCAGATTCGAAATAGATAATGTCACTCCACATCCATAATCCCTATTGATATTTTATATCCTGTTAATACTTTTGTGCAGGCATTGACTGTACTTCCCACATTGAATCCTTGATTCTATTGTAACAGCACTTAGTTAATTAGATAACTCTTCCCTGTTCTATATTTGCCCACTACTACTACAACTGCAAAATTCTTGCATTTATCTGAGAATGATTAGATAATTTCAATTGCTTCTTATTCCAACTTAAGTTCTGATGATATTATTGGATATTATTACGCTTATTTTCATCTACTGATATTAATTGTACTGCTCTTGGTCCTTTATTCATAAAATTTAAAATTCAAATATTTATTTGTATTGTTAATATTTAAAATACTAATACAATTGCCAATTTTAGGTCTTTTTTTAAATTATATATATAATTTAGTGGATGACTTTAATGAATTTGGAGATTATCAACACAAAATAGTCCACTCTGTTATCCTTCATATTAGATAGATGATTATTTATTATATTATTGTCTGCTGTTTTAAATATGGAGTTATTTGAATACTCAAATAAGGAGATCACAAAGTTGATCCAATCTATTAAATTGAATTAATATTAATTTATAATGTATCTTAAATATCATATATTATATATTTAAAAGTATTGTTTTTTAATGAATTTAGTTAGATTTGAACATTCATTATATGATATTATAATTAATCACGTGATAAACAAAATTTTAATTAATATGGCTTCTTAAAGTGAAGAGAAAGACTTGATAGGATCCATATTAAGTGGTAATGATGAATTCGTTATTGTAGATTAAGATGACAAACAAGAAATCGTTCTCAAAAAGGCAAGAAAGAACTTATCCTTGAAATCAAAAGAATTCGATCCTCAAATACATCCAAAACATTAAGAATTTCAGACTTCAAATGCAAGCATATTATCCACAGGATATTAATCGCAGTAGAAATAACGAATATTTTTCTAGACTTAAACATCAATAGAAATGTATATATATATTTATAATCAAATATTTAGTTAGTCTTAACTTTCTAGTGCTTTGCAATAAACTGCTGATTAGGATAATAATACTTCTTCAGTTGACCATTTCTAATGTATAAATCAAAATAAAGTGTTTGTAGCCTTTGATTCCTTTTGTTAGTTACAAAGAAAACAATCGACTAAGAAGCACCATACTATGCAACCAATAGAATATTAAAACTCTTCTTTGGTATTCACGAGTGATTAGTGCATAGAGAGTAAATTATCCTTGAGCCAAACAGACCTTGTAAATTGTTAATATTTAAAAATAAAGGAATAAATCTGTGGGAATTAATTAATCAATAGGAAGCTTTAGAATATTTTGGATAGCAATGATATCAATGCAAAAAGAGTGATTTTCAATCAAGTTGAAAAGATATGTTTGAAGGCTTCAAAAGATATGTTTGGAAATTACACAGTTTAAAAGATTTTTGAGGTTGGAAGTCAAGATTAGAAACAACGAATGTATAATTTGTTGATTAATCACATCTTTGATTTATCAAAAAATTAATATGCATGTAGAGTAGTCCAGAAGATGATGGAATTTATAAAGTATTTTAATTACTATTTATAAGAGACCATACCTAGTTAGTAGAGATATTTTTATAAATCATGTATCCCCAGATAAATCAATTATTAAATGATTCCAATGGCAATTATGTCATTCTTTCTTGCTTTGAGTTGTTTAACAAGAATTAGCTATTTTTTATGATTCCATACATAGAAGATTCGGTAACTTTTTATGTCATAATTTAGTTGTAATTTATGTCAAAACAAACTTATGGATGCAGAGTCATTTAGAAAGTTTTAGAGTTATATCAAATAGAATAAACCTAAAGAATTCTAGATATCTTGATGACTCTTGCGTCTCAATTATGTTATTAGGAATTTGGAAATTATATCATTTAGTATCTATTAAAGAGTGGACCTCCAAAAGAGAAATAAATCATTTGTTCGATAATTAAGGAGAATTTTGAACAATTAAGTATAAATAAATTTGGAAGCAACACTGTGGAAAAATACATCGATATTATGGGGCCGAATTAAATTATAACAATTTTATGTTCAATTTCAAATGATTAGTAATTCTGTTATTGTATGTTAGATTTGTATTTTACAATTTGTCTATCAATCCTTTTGGCAATTATGTTATGAAAAAAGTATTGATCAGTGGAGATCCATCGGTATAATATTTCAAAAACTTATTGAAATAATATCCAGACCTAGTTCAAAGAATTAAAAACTCTGATTTCGGATAAAGAGTTGGATTAATTATGGATGCATTATGAGTGGTCATCAACTTGTAATAGTATCTTGCTTATGAGTATTATTCTATCCAATTTAAAAATCATATTTATCTTTATTATTCATATATAGATAAATAAAAATACTATTCATTATTACTTTTTCTTAAGCTTTTTTAAAAGAGAATTAACAAAAATGACTATTTTTCTTGTTTGTCTAAAATTCAATCTGGCATCACAAGCAGTAGTATACTTTTTGGGGTCTATATCCTCATCATTTTCAACGCATTCACTTACATCATACGGAGTGCATTCCAAATGTAATCCTGCTGGTTTTTCATTACTTTATTCAAGTATATTAAAAAACTATTGAATTTCAAACATGATGTCTTCAATTCTTCTGATTTTATAGCCATTCTTTTCTAAACTATTACCATGCATCGGGTCTAGGAAGAAGGAGACATTTAATTTTTCTTCTTGTTTCCAATTAATAATATCTTTTAATTTATCTAATTTATTCTTTCCTAATCTTATAATGGCAAAGACTCTTCCATCTTCATTCTTTGGATTCAACAATTTAATTAGATTAACAAACTCATTTTTATTTATACTTGATCCGATCTACTGTTAATAAATAGAATACCTTGATCCCTATAGGATTGTAAATTCCCTTTGCAAAATTAGAATGTGCATGCTCACACAATCTAGTTCTATCACCAATCCAAGGGAAATGAGTATTTGATAGATAATAATGGTTTTCCTCATGTTATCTTGCAAATGCAGACTCATATCCTATATGCAAACATTCATGCGAAACCCATAATTATTTACCCTCATATTTACGAAGTGTATCTATCCCCTTTTTTGAGTAATGTGCACCCAAAAGTAATCTCAAAGGATCAGGATCTCTTTCATCTCTACTTAATGAATTTATTAAATCTCCTCTATAATTTAATGTTCCATCCTTTTCATGTAATTAGGTCCTGGGTTTCGCAAATTATCCACAAGTTCTTCCAATTACTATCGCATTCAGAATTTAACCCATACTCTACATATACATATATGTTTTACATCATAAAAACTAAATTTCTCCTTCCAATGTTCTTCTGTGCATTCATTATATACTTCTGCGCAATCTCCTAATTGCAAGACAAATTTATCTCCTTTGCTTACCTTTATCATTTCATTCTTGAATTTATTTATCTCTTCAAAATTTAAGATTCCTGGAAGTTTTCTTAATTTTTATAGAGTCTCCTAACTATTATATTAGATCTGATTACTAGAAATGCTGATCCTAATATAATGGCTATTATAATGCTGGATATTTCTTCCAACTATCCAGATTCCATTCTTTCTCTTAATTCATTAATTAATTTTTAATTTTGGTTCACCATGAGCACTATTTAACCGAAATATGCAACATATCAAATAGATGGCACTGGTATTCGTCCTTTCATTTCTAAATTAGGCAGAGATATGTATATCTCATTTAATAATGGCGGAACTCTTAAAACTATTCCAACCTACAGCCAGTAAAAATATCATAGTGTAACTCCTCAAAGAAGAAACAGCAGAAGCATTAGTCACAATACAAAAATGATTCATTATCATAATAATGGAACTGGAAGAGATCTTTACATTTCGTAAAATTATATTATAACTTTTAGTTAAGATTCTGATCTCTCTAATACTTCCTTCTTAAGAGGTTTGCGTAATTATGAAAGAACCTATCAAACACCCAAAAAATTTAGAATTAGAATTAATAAATATATATGATCGTTTTCTAATTAAAATGCATACTTTTTTAATTCTTATCGTTAAATTATTAAATAAAATTTATTAACAAAATAATGCTCTTCTATCCATATCTACTGATTTAGAAGAAATTTTATTTGTAAAATATGGTGTTATTGGTGTTAAATAAATAATTATAATTTAATAAATAATCATTCTTTAATCATGAACATTGCACTCACTAAAATCATTATAAAATGAAGTAACATTTATAAGAATTTCATTTATTTTTTGATTCTTTTTAAGAAAATTAAGAATAAAATGAAAAAATAATAAAATATATGCTTTAGATATTAATAGGATTATTATGAAAATCAGAATGTGATTATGGGTGGAATTAAAATTACTTATAATAAAACTATGTTATTATGATAGATGGATATTTAAAGATGAGTAAATTAAGAAATTTATCAAATAAAGTGTGAAATATTATATGATAAAAATTGATATAATACATAATTAATTGAAATAAATGAAGAAAAGGGAGAGTTATGAAATAGAGGGTAGAATAAAAGTAAATCAGATATAATTTATCTTCAAACAATAATTGAGATCAACAATAACATTGAGCAATTTTAGCTTGTTAACAAATCTATATTTAAATGTGCTACAACAATCAAATTATTCATATAAGTGAATCCTACGTATTTAGATATTTAGAAAGACTTTTGAATAATAAAGAAATATTTTATAAATAATTAGTTATAAAATTCAGAAATTTTTTAATCGTTAAATTATTCAAAATGGACTCTCTTTTTGCTCTATTTGATTAGTTCATAAGAATCAATTTGATATATTATCCATAAAATTAATAAGCATACATCTCAGAAAGTTGGGAATAATTTTTAAGTTTATTATAAACTTAACCTCTTGATTATGGGAAAATTTATACCTTAATAAATAGAATGACTTATGAAAATTTAACACCAACAAAAAATGAAAGATAAAGTTCTAGTTTAAGATAAGTAGCCAGAAATATCACTGCTGCTTCTTCGCCTAGAATAGTTTCATCATCTGTGTCAAAGAACAGTATTGAAATTGATAATTTAAATTTAAGGCACCAACATTTTGCAAAAGATTTCACAAATAGACAATATAGCCAGTCCTAAAATTACAGTCTCCCATCTTACTAGTTAACAATCATTGATTAATAAAACATCATAGTAATAAAGTGGCAAATAACAAGTACTTTTTATGTTAATATAGTAATTGGCAGAAGAATTTAATAAGCATTTATTATTGAGTAAAATAAAGGAATTATAATTTAATTATTCAGTTTCTACAGATAAGCTCTACGCAATTGCCAAAATCCTTTAATAAAAGGAAGGTAATTCTGCAACAACAAAATCACCCATTAAATATCCATTAACACAGCACTTAAACAAATCAAGGGGAAATAATCATAGTGCAGAGCATTATAAAATTGCTGCTTGATTTCTGATAGTTTCTTTTTTAATAAATTTATAATAATAGTTTCAACCATTTAAATCTTTTTTTAATTAAAAAAATAAAAATTTGAAAAAGTATACACATAATTTCTTCCATGATTTTAAAGTTGATTACAAAATCATGAATATACTAATAATTACTAATGAAATTAATATTATTTCATAATTGTTTCTATTTAATATTAATTTGATATTTATATAATTGAATTTTTTCATTAAAATTCTATCTGGTTACATTGTTAAGGATATTAAATTTATCGACGTAGTTGAAGAAGAATATACAATAGTAGTTACTATTCTTGCTTGGAAATTACTAAAATAGAATATACACATTTTGCATTTTCTATATGGGAATTAGTTAAATGAGATTAGTTTTAGAGTTTTATAATTCTACTAGAATCACTAAAATAAACACACTCAAATTTAGAGAATAAATCATTGTATATTGTTAGAATTAATAAATATACTGTAAATCTGTTACTTTATAACCATATTATATTGTTTTCTATTGGAATTTGATTGCCAATCGCAATAATCTCCAAATTGAAATAATTTAAATAGAATTTTATGACACTATTTTGAATAGAATAAATTCCTTTTTTTAATTGAATAATAATGTAAATAAAACTTTAATCAATCTAATCCTTAATTAAAATTAAAATATGAAATTTAACACGTAAGATGGCCAAGCTTTTGAAGTATCTATTATTTAAATTAGATTGCTGATGAAACATTAAAATATTTTACTAAGGTTTGTAAAACTAATGTAGAGACACTTAATTTAACTTCCATAAACAGTAGAATCATGAAAAAGGTAGTTTAGTATTGTGAAATACATTAAGAGGATGATATTATCCCTGAAATTTAGAAACCTTTGCTATCAAATAATCTGTAAGTGATATTCTTATTATCAGGTATGAGATCGTGGGTTTTAAAGATGCTGAATATATTACTAATCTTGAATTTGAGGAATTACTTCATATTATTAAAGCAGCCGAACTTCTTGGTATAAATACATTAGTAGATCTATCATGTGCACAGTTTGCAATAAAAATAAGAGGTAGAATTTCATTAAAATTGTAGGGAAAAGTCCAGAATAAATAAAATCTTATCTCTCTTCTAAAATGCATAAAACAGATGAAGAATTTTAGAGGTAAAGAGATGGTGAAAATATGGCCAAGATTTAGCAGATGTAAAGTTCAGATTGAGGAATAGACTTATGTTTTTAATTTGAAATAATTTCTATAAACTTAATAAATGGGATTCTGTAATTTCGGTCGATCATCATTCAAGTTTGTTATCGTTAACTTAAACGCTTTGACCTTTTCTAGTTTCAATATCTAAATCCTTAAAATAAATATAATTTTATTCAAATTATATTCTCATTAATGAATTTTATATATATGTAGTATAATTAGGCGGTCATCTTAATGTAATTAAATAAATCTATAATTTAATTTGAGAGTCAGATGCAAGAATAAGATAAGATTGAGATCCCAAACGATTTGAAATTTACTATTAATTTTTCAATTATCAAAACAAGCTTTATCTTTTTATAATAGAGATCTTAAACCTTTATTTCGACATTCCATTTTAATCAAATTGATATTCATTCATTTGATTCTCCCAAAGCTATATTTATCTAAAAGTTGTGCGAAGAAAAGAATTTGAACAACAAAAAAGATTGCTGAATTTAATACCAAAACTAACAAAATGATTAGAGTATTATAATCAAGAAATGGATTTAATAATGATTTTTTATTATTTACAAAGATATAAATATAGTACTTTATCATTTAGAAGTGTTCACATCTTTAATTAATTTTGGTAATCCTTTACTTCTTTTTTATAATTTACTAACATTATTATAAATACATACCTTTTAGAAGCGAACAAGAGATTTATATTGGCCAGCAATATTTAGTAAGGGACAGTTGGTAATTTATTTGTCTTCTTCTCAGGATGTTTAAACTGACATCTTTCTCCGTAACAACAATAACTTTTAATATTAAATATTATTGATACCCATCTTAAGTGTAATTTTTACAAGTTTTAGTCTTGTAGTTAGAGGGAACATGGACTTTTTATCTCACTTCGTCCTTTCCATGAGCAAAGGCACACTAATTTTAATTTTATAGAATACCTATTAACCATAAGGACAATATCCTTCAATGGCCCAATATTTACAAATCTAAACAGGATTTATTAACAAATTTACTTCAGTTTTGACTTTTACTTTGTAGGAAACCTTTTTGTTATTTTTTTGGGTTGGCATTACTTCATCCAATTATTCATCTGAATTACTCTCACTAAATCAATAATAAATGGGTTATACCAACTCTTTGTAGAATGATTGCTATCAAATTCATCACATGAAATTTGTTAATTCATTTTAAATAAAGTAATTAATATCTTATTTTTAAATCTTAATAATATTATTAAAGCCAATCCAGCCTATATAAATTAAAGATAATGCGTATTTTAATAATATTATTAAACATTAGAAATTGCCGGGATTACTAAATTTAAAATACCTGGACCATCATCTTAACAAATTATGTTAATGAATTAAATAAATTCTGCAATTCCTATACTCCAATAAGCACAAATATCTTACTATTAATCATCTTAAATTCATATCCTCTGTGACTATTAATAGAAAAAGAGTTAATTCTTAGGTATATTGCCAATCAATATAATTACAATGGCATTTGGATCATGATGAAGAGTTAGGACAATACTTCCAGTAATTTATTATTTCTATAGAAATGTTGTAACAAAAAATTTAGAAAATGTATAGTTTTGGATTAAATTACTCATTTAATATTATATTTAACAAAGTCGATTCATTTAATTAATATTCAGGTATTGATTTAATAAAAATCCTTAATTATTATCTCAAAGAATTTATTGGTATAAAAATGAATAGATCTTATAATCTATATTCAAATAATAAGTTCCACTCAAAAGTATTGAGTATGAAATTCAATATTTTTAAGATAAAAATAATACTTTTCCACTATTTTATAAAGATTATAAAATGAGACAAATTACTTCAAAATTTAAGCAACTATAACTCAATAACATAAAATCTAGATGCTTTTAAATTCGTAGAATGATTATTATAATAAACTCAAACTTCCTAACACATTCCTTCAGTTGGAGTAATTAATTCTTATAGATTATGTGATGTTTATTGAAAATTAAAGCCTTCTTATTCTCTCTAATTTACAGATTATTATTTTTCATTATGAGATGTATTTCTAATGCTATCATTTTCATTTTCACTATCAGCATCAAATTAAAATGCAGCCTCCATTTCTTACTGTTTAACTTTTCTTGGCTTCTATTTTTTATTTTTGCTGATTGTAGCAGTAGTCTTAGAAACTTTCATTTTAATATTTTACTTCTGATTTGATTTTTCTTTAGAATCAGATTAAACTACTTGATTCGGGAAACTAATTGGATAATCAGAATTTATCTCTCCTTAACCTTAATTTTAGATTGTCACAGGTTTGTTTCTAAAATATTTTCTCAAATATAATCCTGCAAAAGTTAGAAGCAAAAAGAGCAAAACGACAATAAATAGAGTTTACAACATTATTAAAATATTTCAAATAATTTGTTAGCACTAATCTTTCGATGCCCTATTCCAAAGTCAAAGTGATTATATGTACTATGTATTTTACTTAGTTACAAGCCTCTACTTATCCTATTATCTAAATAGTAATAAACTTTATATTAAGTATTGATTCATTTTTTTGGTTCTCTTGTTAACTAAAATTTCTCATCTTCATAAGAACAATTATTCAATCCCAAATCAAATTTTATAACATTTACTTTTTGTCTTTTTGAGCTAATTTTAAAATCTTGATTTTATCTTCTTAATTTATCTCAGTAATTCATTTTTTCTGTTATTACTTTGGTTAAGCTATGCTGATAAAATAAGGAATATAGTGGATGAGTTTTCTTCTAATATCTTTACCAATTTTCAAATAGAGTAGATTCATGAGCATTAGAAGTCTGTGTGAATTGTGATTTAAGGAAGATTTGAACGAATAAAGTGATCAGTTATAAAATGGATACAATAGTCTTCTAATTTGATATTTTATGCATACTCATTAAAGGATATCACCAATATTCTCTCTATGAAAAAAATATAGCATTGTAAATTAACCGAGGAAAATAGCATTAGAGTATATTTTTTGATTATTGATATGACCAAGATAGAAACTAAGAGAGTGTTATAAATTCTGGTAAAATATTTGAATAGTTGAAATATGTAACAATTCTAATAAGTATAATATGTAGAATAGATTATATGTTTGAAGATCTAGGGATTTCAATCTGAATCATTTGGCTACCACTAAGATAAATCTAAGTAAAATGAAATAAATAGTGTTGAGTAATTTTGTATATATTAATTCCTCTAAACTCTACAGGGAAATTTAGACCTATCAGAAGAAATTAAAATATTTATAGATTCTAAATGATATATATTATTAAAATATTAAATGGACCAATAAACAGAGGAAACTTTGAATTCAGGAATTGAAGTTCAAGTGTGTGATCCCTTGGTAAAGAAGGATGGACTTAAGAATTATGTAGTTTACACACTCAAAGGTTAAGATAAAGAGGGCCAATTTTGTGTAGTGCGTCGATTCAATGAATTTGATTGTTTTAGGTAAGTTCAAATACTATGTAGAATAACTCTTCAAATACGATGGCCTGGATGCTATGTTCCTCCTTTACCTATAAAGAAATCAGTCGTAAGTGTTGTAACCTTATCAAAAGGGAAATATGGATTAATAGTTCATTGATGAGAGAATGCATTATCTCAATCTCTTTATGGCGAAGATATCAACAATCAATCATTTATGGTATTCTGAAGAAACTAAGATATTTATAAAAGCGAATGGCGATATTGAAAAAGTAATCATGTATTAATATTCCTCTAGCAATTAGTTTTATTATAAAAACCATCTGCTGGTGATATCATCTACAAATATGAAACAGTATTCAATGATTTTTCAGGCAAAGAGATCAATGATCAATTACTCTCTAAAATTGGCAATTTCTCTTTGTTCTTAAAGAGAATTCAACCATAATTAGAAACTTTTTAATAATAAGCCAAATAACTTGTTCAATCGAGGTAAACGTATTCATCAATATTCAAGGCTACAATGTTAAGAAAATATGAATCTTTTGTTAGACTATTTAATGCCAGAATATGAAAAGAATTGTTTAACCGAATATGTTGTGAATCCAGAGAATAAACTTGTGTTTGTTTAACATAACACAGAGTTATACCAATAATATGTTTTTTAATTTTTAATTATTAGCGAGCAGCCAATGAAAAGAGTGCTTTAGACAATTTTGCATTGTCTATAAAAATAGAAACCAGAGACATTGATGCTGTGCTTGAAGCTATACTATGCAAAGATAAATATGAGTAGATTAAACAAATCTATATGACTAAATTATGTAGTTTGAACAATGAGAAAAAAGACATTGAGAATGGCAAAACTACATTCAAATCTTTATTCAATTCAAATAAAGAAGAAATCTTCTAAAAGACTTAGCAATAAATTGATAATGTAATACATTTATTACAAATAATCGAAAGATCCAAAAAGAGATTGAACAATTAACCATCTTGTGTGATATGATAACCATAATCCTTGGATATGTAATTTTGCCTAGATATAAAGTATTTATTGTATCAACCTATTTAAGCAAGAGAAAGAGAAAAATTATTACTAATTATTAAAACAGATGGCACAACATCAAGTTCAGAAAGCATAAGCAGAGAGAAATTATTGGTTAGATTTAGATAAGAATCAAATGTTTATGGAGGTTTGAAATTGATATATAACATAACAAATATTAAATAAGAATCTTTGGAGTTAAAATTCATAAAATCTTAGATTGATTTATATTCTATAAGTTATAATGAAGAGAGCACTCGTTTAGGCAATTCTATCAAATATAAAGGTAATAGCAAAAGATCTCTTTTTATTAAGGAATAAAAATCTCACTAATTTAAATGTTTCACTTAATAGAAATATCTTCGACTCATGCTTTTTTTGTAAAATCCTCGTCTTCTTGTTTAGAATTCATTTAATATTCATAATATTATATGTGGATATCACGTTTAAAATATCAATTACTATTTTTTCCATCTTTTACTTTTACTCTGATATCATTATTTATGATTTGCTTCAAACATTCAATAGCCCAGCTAAAATTTCCTTCTGATATGTATTTTGTAAAATTTTCAACTAATTTTTTTTTATCGGACTCATCCTTAACTATCAATGGTTCATACTTTTGCTAATTAATATTGAAAATTTAAATACTTAAGAAGCAGGCATATTGGGAATTTGTTATGGGAATTTGTTTATGGGAAACTAGGGATTAGCTTACATTCCTCCTCCAAAAGGGTTATTCTAAGGTTGAGGAAAAATTGGCTTATTATTATTAATATCAGTCTTTGGGAAGGGCACAGGTTGAGGCTTTTATAAGTTTGGTTGATTTTAGGGATTCTAAACAAAGGGTTGCGGAGGTTAAAATTATATTGGTTTATTACCAGGGATATTAGGTTATGGAATAGCAGATTAAGCCTACTAATTTGGTATTAGTGGAGGGTTCTATTATTATAATTTATTCTGGGGATTAAATGCTGTTTAGGGTGGTTTTGGTTGTAGGTTTGGTGTTTGATTTGGTGTTTGGTTTGGTGGTTGGTTTTGGGTTGGTTGGAATGGAATGCTTCCAAATGTGTTTATTGCAGGTTGAGTTGTAGGCTATGGAAGTTATCCGAATTGTTGGGCTTAAAACTATTTTTGTGGTTGTTAAACCTTTGAAGGTGGGAATGAGACTCCTTCTTGCTAATTCTATTATTGATTCATATTAAAAATATTAATTTTTTTTATTAGTAAGAGCACTTTAATATATATAATAATAATATAAATAATATTACAATGAGACCCAAACCCAAGAATAATAAGGAGTAGGCAAATGTGGAGGAATAATAACCTTAACACGTAATAAAGGAGGAGAAGCCTATTAGTGATAAATATTAGGTGAAATACAATTCAAAAACTCAATTGAGGTTAGATGAGAAGGAGAGTTTCGTATTAGGAGTGCCAGGAACTAAAATATATAGTGTGAAATGGGATGCTGAAGATAAATACATAGCTTGTGCTTGTGAAAATGGGACAGTTCGAATTTTCAATGTCAGGAAAAGGTAACTGTCTTATTTGATAAATTCTCTTGTGCCCAACGTTCCATTTTCATATGTGAAATGGAGACCTCAAGCTCAGCAATTTAAGACTAGAAATATCTTTGTAACTGGAAATACAAAGGGTGAAGTGCAACATTGGCATATGACAAGTGGGAAGTGTTTGGGAACAATGAAGGAGGACAACTCTGATATCTATTGTATAGATTACAATTAAGATGCAACAAAATTGGCAGTATGTGGATTGAATCCTATCATTCGTATACATGATGAAGAGAAAAGAGTTGTTGATGTTAGATTAGGAGTAGAATAAACATAGCCTCCAGGTCATAATAACAGAGGTATGAATAAATGTTATATACAGTTTATTGTGTTAAATTTCATCCTCAAAATCCTAATATGTTGATATCAGGTGGTTGGGATTACAGAGTTTTAATCTGGGATATTAGATAAAAGAAGCCAGAAGCCAATTAGATTTATGGTCCATTGATTTGTGGTGATGGTATAGACATGAGAGAGTCTTTTGATGGGTAACAATTGTTAACAGCATCGTGGTCACAAGAGAAACAGTTGCAAACGTGGGATCTTAGAACTTGTAAACTGATTTGTAATTTCGATTGGAATTCTCAAATAAAGGTTAGTAATCAGCCGTGCTAATTGTACAGTGGGTAATTCTCAAGATAGTTTGATAATCAATTAACTTTGGCTGGAGGATCAGGTGAGAATGAAGTGAGAATCTTTGATTCACAAGATTTTGACAATGCTTAAATATGTATTCATGATCTTTGCAGAGAAGTCAATACTGTGGATTGGGCACACAAGGATTCTAGATTTGCATTCTCAGGTGGTGACGGATACTTGAGAATATTTGAAATATAATAAATAAATTGAATTAATGTAAGAACGGTTTATGAGGGCTATTCAAGAGTTGGATACCCTTTTAAGAGAAACTGAAACCGGCAAGATTAAACTTAGTCTTACTCTTAAGGATCTAGCATAATTGCATCACTTACAGTCCAGACTTCAGGAGTGTAAGTTTCTCAATTCAATCTATTCAGAGGAAAGCAGAATCAAGTAACTAATTGACAATTCATATTAAGATAATACCTAAGCAGAGCAGTGACGGTTAATCTTTAAATCTAAGAAGAATTGTGTTCGATTATAGAGACAAAAATGGAATCTATTACAGTATCTCATTTAATAATAATCAAGTCTAACTTCAATCATTTGGATAAGTTGATTCTCTACATCTTGAATTAAACTATGAATAAAACAACCATGAAGAATGTACTAAGACAAATTAGCAATATTATTTTGGGTAGCAATAATTTCACTTTGCTCCGATTTTAAGAAAAATCTGTAGAAAGTGTCTCTACTGACGAATTTATTGAGGTAAACTAATCTTCTCAAAATAGTAATAATTAACAGAACAATAGAAATTACAGCTTTACTAATAATTCCGTGGGGATCAACTTGAAATCATCACTTTCTAACCCACTGGGCAATTACAATAGATATTCAAATGCAGTTCTTTACAGGTTATCAGAGTGCCATAAAAATTGAATGCTTAAACCCATTCTTCACTCATCATATACGAAGCTTAACAATAGGCCAAATTGCCATAATCCAAACCTCATCAAATTAAACTCATATGCGATCAACTTATTACTATAGGTTATGACTACTTAAATGAGAATTACCAGTAATCATTTCTGCTCACTATAATTTAGTAAAGATGACTTAATCAATTCAGTCAGAGCCATTGGCTAATTTTTAATTAAAAATGCTCCAATCTTATTTTAGGAATGCATTAGAAATGAAATCGAAAGAATACTCAACACCAAATGGTAACACTTTAATATTATTTAAAGTGAAATTATTTAATCAACCAAACACTCAAAAGACACTAGTTTCGCAATTTTAGAAAACCAAACCAAGTGTTTTATTCCAGTTATGTCCAATCATGTCGTTTAATTCTATTTGCATATGGAGAATGTCTCCTTGGATATAATCACTTTTGCAGATTTTGTATTTATCCATCTCATCTAAATTAGATGTCATAACTGTGGTAACATTTTAAGCATTCCTTAAGAGAATTAAAGGATAAAGAATTTCTCTATTAAATCATTGAAGTAAGTACACCAACCAAATTAGTAATTGCTTCTGATCTACATCTAAATATTATTTATTAGAGTGGTTCTGTTCCATCTTCATGGAATTTCTTGGATCTTAGCAATTAATTAATTGATTGTTACCAAAATCTAACGGAAATCAAAATGGAAGAAATCTACAAAACGATGTTACTTTCATCCTTAGAAGAAGTTTAAAAGAGTAAAAAAGGTGCAATCGATGCTGGTTAAATCATTTATCATGATAAATATGTTGATATAGCAATCTACGTAAAAAAAGACGAGAAAAATGAAATTAATTAGTTCTTTATTGTTTTTGATCAACCTAAAAAAAGATTCGAATCACAACGACAATCTAAAAGTGAAATAAAAGTTTCAGAAACTCTTGCAAGCTTGAAATAGGAGAAAATCGAGAAAGCATGCTTGGTTTTACAAGAGTCATTAAATCTGAATCTATAAACTGATGAGATTATTGATATGCTCAAAGAACATGCATTGATGACAATTATTGAACAAAAAGAATAAATTACTGAAGACATCAGATAAACTTACGTTTTAGAATATTACAGAAACTCTGAATAAGTGTAAACCTATCGTAGAACAATAAGCGAACCAGATACTCCATTCGCAACTAAAACTTTGATTCAAGAACAATAATTGACTAATGCGAAAAGTATTAAAGTATCTAAATAAACATAGAAATGGAATTATTTTAATTAAGACCTGATGATTTAGAAAATTTGGGCAATTGGTGTTTTGATATCACAGTTTAGAAAGATTAAATAAAACATTATACTTGGGCATTGTTTCATTTATTAAACTACTTTGATAAATACCAGATGTATAAGGAAACATTTTTTCAATTTTTAGTTGCAATAGAAGAGAGATACAACAGTCGTCGCAACCCTTTTCATAATTTTGAGCATGGGTTTACTGTGGCTCATGCATGCTATTATATGATCAAGAATAAACTATTAGATGAATATTTAGATTAAACTGAATAGTTTGCAGCTATTTTATCTTCATTATGCCATGACATCGATCATACAGGTAGAACAAATGGATTCGAAGTTGCAAGAATGTCTAAATTGGCAGTTCGGTACAATGATGAAAGTGTGTTGGAGAATCACCATGCAGCAATGACCTTTAAGATTATGCAGAGAGAGAAATATAATATTCTATCCAATCTCTCTCAAGAGCAATTCCAAAAAGTGAGGAGATTTATGGTTTCCAATATCTTAGCAACAGATATGAAAAAACACTTCGATTTAGTGTCATCATTTGAAATTAAGTATAAAAATGGAGAAATGAATATCGTCAATATGGAAACTAAAAGAGTGTTATCAGGTTTAATTGTTCACACTTGTGATTTGACTTAGCCAACAAAGAGATTTGAAATTACTAAGAAATGGTCTATACGAATATAGAATGAGTTCGATAATCAAGTGGAAGAAGAGAGATTATTAGGATTGCCAGTTACTTAACATTTAGTATGCTAAAATTTACCAAAATAAGAATTGTCATTTATCAGAGTATTTGATTAATTATAACTTAGAATATCATCTAACCACTTTATGTATTAACATCCTCAATTTTAAATAACGGATTGTCAGTTGCCTTGAAATGTTTAGAGGAGAATGAAAAAGAATGGACAAAACTACTGAATTGAAAACAGAATATTGAATTAATTGATTTAATAATAATTATGTTTTATAGTTATGAAGAGCTATATCTATAAGTCATCTCTCTTTTGGTTATTGTAATTATGATGATAAATCATGATAATATATATATAATAAAAAAATAAAATTAGTAATGTAAACTATTCATATAGCTTTATATGAGTATCTAGGAACAAATCCATTAAAATGACATATATAAGCTAAACTAATTTAATAAATTAAATTCTGTTAGAGAGTAAGTGAAATAAGTCAATATATTTATTGTAATGATTATAATACATAATCAGATTAGTTTTTATTTTGAGAAATTAATTTGGATGGGTTTACCATCTAATTCCAGTCCATTATTTTTCACTAAAACTGTTAAAGCAATTTCAGTGCTAGCAAATTTGAGAATGGCCATGTATTTCATTGCATTAGTGATGATTTTGGATTATTTGATGATTCCATACTCTTGTAAATACTATTAGAGTATATTCAATTAACAAGAATTCTTAGTCAAATTAGACACTTAGATAGTGTCACATGGAGGTGCTAGAGTGTAAGTACTATCAGGTTTAATTCGATGAGTTTCTTCTCCTCCCTAAAAGTACTCCTCTTAAGCTTTAAGATCTTAAGTGTACTCACCCGGCTTGCTCGGTTAGGTTTTTAAAGATATTTCATCGTAATTTGAAAAGAATATCTTTTTTAAATATTGTAAGATACTTTGATTGATTGTCCATAGAACATGATATCATTGAGAGATTCCTTTGCGATAGCTGCATAATCATATGTCATATATTGTATTAAAGCACTTGATCTTTCCTTCAAATAGATCATTTTATCAATATTGCCATATATACTAAATAAATTGTAGAGCATTTGGGAAGTAACCACTTTTTTGTCGAACCATCTAGCATAAATGACCTTTGATCTCTTGGCTTCTAAGTTATTTTAAATGAAATTAATACATTGAAGTGATTTAGAATTATCATCTAAGTTATCAGCACTAGATTACATCTTTTCAAATTGTTATCTTTCTACTTATTGTAAGGTCATACTCTTGGAGACTGGCATTTTAATCATTTTATTTCTGTATTGATCCTAATCTTATCTCTAGAGTGGTTAAGATAATGGTTATGAAATTTATTAAACAATTTAGGTTTGTTATTATGGTTTTTCAAAAGCTGATTGAAAATTGGAGAATTGATTCTTGGTTTCTGTGTTAGATTCGAAGTACTTCAGAAATTCATTATGTTAATCTTCATCATCTTCATCTTCAATTTCTTCAGATCCGACAATCTCTTCATCTGATTCTTTCAGACATAAGTCTTAAAACTTTAAGTCATCTTCCTGGCAATTGTCAAGAGTTTCAATATTATTGTTATCTTAATAGCTTTACAAAAATTCTATTTGATCATTTTTGTTCTATTGTTCAGCTGGCAATGTTAATTTTTTTCTGTTTGATTATTTTTATTAAACATTTATTGATTGGGGGTCCTCAGATTTATTGACACCTTGTAGAAAATTTTGATATTGATCAGTTAAGTGTTAGAAATTGGTTTAGTATTCAAAGATCTAGTTAAGCAATTGCTACTATTTTTCAATTTGAGATTAGAGATCAATGGATGAAACTGTAGCAATAGAAAATCCTTCAGCACTTACTAATTGCAGTTATCCCATAACTGAATTGATTTGTTGAATTTATTAAGACATTTAATGCTAAAATTGCATTTGCGACTACAACAACTGAATAGGCATCTATTACTATGGTGTTTAAGAGGCTGGCTACTGTGATTTCCTTAATTATGTGTAATCTATGGTAAATTAAAGGCAATACCAACTCCACCAGTGTTGTTCTCTTGGAATGTGATATAAGTTAGTTTGCTAGCATACACATTCATTGGCAATTAGGGATCATCGCAGAACAATTTATCATTCATGATCTATCTGGCTTTGTTGGCAGATTCAGGAAATTCGAATTCAACAAATGTCTTCCAAGTTAATGATCTCTCAAAAATTAGCATCTAAATTGTAGTAAGATGGAGATATTTACTCGTTGGATTGTTCCAAATTGACTAAATACCTTATAGTATTTATCATGTCCTAGAGTCTTATTTGCTTTGTTTGTGATCACTACCAAAATCACATTAGTTGTGTCTTAATTCATTAATTAATTATTAAATTCTTAATACGATATTCATAAATAGTTTCATGCCTTATGCTTAGCAAATCCATTAGATTTATTCCCTGAGCCACTTTCTTTTCTCACTCCATCTATTAATTGATTTCTGAGATTTCGAGACTCCTGTTGGGCTTTCGATAATTATTCCTCCAAAGTACTGTTTTGCTCAATTATCTACTCTAATTGCTCATTCAATTGATTGATCTCTACCTTCAAACCTTAAATTATCTTCATTACATAGAAATACCTTCACTCTTTGCCACTTCCTTTTCAGCTCTCTCATTTTACTTCTCACAATTTTACACACTCTTCACATATTTGTCCTTCCAAACTTCTATCTCTCTTAGATTTTCTTAAATCTTCATTTCCTAACCTTATTTATCCTTCACCAAATTCTCACTAGCAACTTTTAGTTTCTCCATTTAAGTTTTAATCTATTCATTTTCAATCAACAAATCTATAAATCTATGATTATTCATACTTGCAATCCTATTTTCCAAAGTTTTAATCTCATTCTAATATCTTTATGCTTGAGATTTCAACTTCTATTGTTCAATTGATTAAGTCTTCATTTAGTCTTGATAAGGCTTTTAAGCTTCATTAAATTACTTTTGTTAATTTTACAATTCCATCTTCATTTGATCCTGAACTTATTTGACTTCTTAAGCACATTCCAATTTATTCTATTATATCGCATTATCCTTCTCATAAATAGCCTATTTCACTTATTCTTATAATTGATTAATTTTTTAATTCTTCTCTTTGATTTCTACATTTAATTAATCAATCTTCTCTTAGAGTTTCTTGACTTTATTGTCTAGTTCAGTTAATTTAGTTTGTTCAGTTCTTAATTTTAGATCATCAATACTTTTCTCCCTCAATCTAGTTGGTAGTTACTTCAACTTTTACTACAACTCTTCTATTTTTGCTTCATTGATTGATTGTGTTTCTAATAGCTTTTGATTAGCCTTTTCTAATTGTTACAATTTGTCTTTGTTAATAATCTCATCTTTTCGTTTCATCTATTGTAATAAGAAGTTTTATTCACTCAATTAGTTGTTTTTCTTAAGTAATTTTTCATATTCTTATTGAAGGTCTTTAGTTTATCCTTAAGGGGACTATGATATTGACACTCCAGACACCTTTTTTGGAATAGAATTTCTGATAGTTTACAATTCATCAAGCTAAGATTTTTTTGAACTATACTGATTCAGATTGGCTTTTAGATTATCAATAATATCTTTTTTTACTTAAATTTCTATTTTATGCTATTCGATTAATTTTGACATTTCTTTCTGATGATTATCATTAATTATTTTAATCTTTTCCTCAAACTTATCTTCTGAATGTACTTTGATTTCATTCTCTTTATTCTTCTCTATTGCTATTGCTTTTTATAAGTTTGAGTTTTCCTCCAATAATAATTGTATTTTGCTTTATAAGTTTTATATCTATGATGTTAGTTCACTGTTTTGTAAAGTTAAAATTTCAATCTCTGTTCTTCTCTTATTTGCAAGAACTCCTAAAGATGTATCAGCTTAACATTGCTTTTCTTGATGACTCAATTGATCTCTTAAATCTTCGATTAAATGATTCTTGTCTTTGAGTTAATCTTCAATTTAATGTATCTAATTGTTATCTTTGATTGATTACTTTGAGCTTTTATTATTAGATCTCCTCACTCAATTTCTTTTCACGAGCAAAACGATCTCTTACTTCTTGTTCTAATTACTAGATGGTATTTGCTGCATTATCAACCCCTTAATTACTTCTTTAGACCTCTAATAATTATACCACTTTATCATTCTCTTCCAACAACATTCCAATTTATTAATCTTTCTTCTCTCCAAGCAATCGCATCTATCTAACATCATTCCGAGCATCTTCAAATTACCTCCTTATTTACTATGTTTCTTAATTAGACTCCTCCAATTATGTTTGTTATCTCTAAATAACATTTTCCTATTGTTTTAATTTCAGTTCCAATTCATGGATTTTTCTCTCCAACACCTTCTTAGCTGCTGATTCTTTGGAAACCTCTTAAACATCTTTAATGATTCGAGATGGACTTTAGAACAAAGAGATTTGACTTCCATTATTTTTGCTATGCATACTCATTTACAACTGTAGTTTTATTAATAAATTATATATATATATATATGTTAAGATTTAATTACAATAAACAAAATTCAATTATCAGAATCATCATCTAAATCATCCTATTCCTCAGCTTCCTCCTAATAATTTTCAGGATCTCCCTCGTATTCACTTAACCCTTCATAATCCTCTTCAGCAACATCCTCCTTCTTCTTGTCCTCCTTATACTTTCTAATCTCATCCAACACATATTCTTATTCCTTCTCATCATCAATCTCCTATTCAGATTCCTCAAGTTCTTCCCCTGCTTATTGTCTCTATTTCTCAGACATAACCTTCTATTTAATCAATTCCTCCTACTCATAAATCAATCTCTAAGCTTCACTCTACAAATTACTCTCTCCCTTTTCTCCTTTATTATGTTGTTCAATTAATCGAATCAACTCTTTCACTTTAATTTTATTGCCCACAAAACCAAAATCCTCTGAGATTCTTTTCAATTATTTCTCCAAAAATAATGTGTATTCATAGAACCACTATTCAGTGGAGAATATGGATAAGTAAATCACTATCTTATTGACAATCTATTAACAGAAGTCAGCCCAAAAGGTTCCAGATTATTTGTATTTTGGTTTTATCGATATATTGATCAAAAAATCATATGGCTTAACACTGCTCTTTAGCTTCCTCCTCTTCAACTCAGCACAATTCAACATCCTCAGTATATAACTCAACAGATTTTAATTGACCTTGTAGTCCTAAGATACTTTGATTAAGATATCAATCAACTATAATTAGAAAGTGTAATTGTCAATGCAAGGATAAAAGTCTAGCACTGATTATGTTATTTGAATGAAAGGAGGCATCAAATCAGCCAATTGATTCTCTCTCTTGTGAGTACAAATTACTTGAGCCCACAACTTGAGTACATTCAAAGTTTGCTAATTGTAAATAGATAAAACATTTTATTGATTCTTAGAAACACTTGCATCTCTGATCTTTTTCACCAATTTTTGTAAACTCAAATACACTACTTAATATGCCTGATTCATATTCAGATTGCACAATTCAGTGATACAATTGATCATGAAATTTATTGCTTCATAATTCCTCCAAAGAACATGTTTAGCAGACTCCAAATACTTCTCATAAAATTTCTATACAATCACAAATACTTATATACCTTCATAATGTCTTATTGCTAATGGTCAGCCATTGATTAAAATACCTTTCTAACCTACACAAATGCTTGCAATTTGATTTACAAAGATAAATGATCACCCCATATTTGTATCAATAATTTCAATGCTTTCTTTTACAAACTTTCAAATGCTGTCAACACTATATTCAAATTTCCCAGAGCTCTTATAACAAATAGAATAGTTCCCTCCTATGCCTCTTGTGTCTCAATAGTGTGTTCCAAGAAATTCATTGCTTTTATGAAAAACCCTCTTATGATAACCTAATGAATGTGAGACTCAATATGCTCTCTCTTAAATGTTTCTGCATAGTCCACTTAATAAAAATCCCTTAAAATATTTGGAAGTTGTAGTAATGAGAATTGAATAATCTTCGAGTAATCTTCAGGTTCTTAGCAATACTTTGCAATCGCTTGGTCTGGTTAATCCTCATCTTAATCTCCTTTTGATGCAAGTCTAAAAAGCTTAATTAAAAGAGATATGCTCTTGAAATTCGGAGACTCTGTGAGTTTCTCAAAGAGTTGATTAATAATCATTAATTAAATATGTTACTTGATAACATTAATGTATTTTAATAATTATCTTTTACAAGTTGCAAAAACTATTAGTCCAGGCACAAATAAAGAATTGTTGATCTCTAATATTAATGCTCTCTTTGTATAGGAAATAGGGTTCAGATTTAGAAGCAATGCATATAGTAGAATTACAAAACCTCAAATTAATTATTCTATAAATAAAATTGATTATCTGGTATAATATGAAACTATAAAATCCCCTTGAAGATTGGATCTTATTATCATTACTTAAAACTAAAAACATTATTCAAATAAATCTTTTAGAATATTATAATTTTCATCAGAGTATTATTTTATTTAAAGAAGCAAATCAAACCAAGTTTATTTAGTTGAGTGAATAAGTAGCTTAATCCTAAAAGGATAATTAATATGAAGATAATAATACTTTAAAGAAACCCAAAATAAAGAATCTAATTGAATTATTTTATATTATCTTATTTTATAACATTCTCATCATCTATATTGCCCTGGCATATATTATCCCTAAGAGTTTATTCCGATTTGGTTCGCTCTTTATGGGCTAGAATTATAGAGACCACCTTAATATAGAGGAGGTTAAGCTCTTTAAGGTTGTTATTAATACGTTTGAGGAGCTCCAAACATGCCTGGTTAAGACTATTGATATTGTTAATTGAATTGAGGAACTTACTATTATTATTATTATTATTATTATTATTATTATTATGGTTATTAATAATTAACAACAGATCTTGATTATCCACCCTTACCAGTGTCAACTTAATGTAAATAATCCTAATCATAAGGAGCTTTACTATTTTATATATGACAATTTATTACTGCATACAATTTACCAGAAGGAATAATGACAACAAAAGCAACAATACTCCGACAATTGCTGTATAAAGAATTGTATTTTAGGGGATGTGGATTTAATCAGGATTGACTTGATATGAATGAGAAATCGAAATTTGGTTTGTATCTTAATTAAACAACACAAAATTTTTTCTAGGTATTGTTAAAATCAAAATATTACTTGAAGAATGTATATGGGATAATGATATTAGACTTCTCTTATTGAGTTGCTAATGTATTCTTATCTGAGATAGTTTTCATCAACAGATAGCATTAGTTTTGTTCTCTGTGAATATAATCCTACTTGGATAATGGATATGCTATTTTATCTTGGAGATTAAATGAGAAGTAAATGTCTTTATATTTATCGAATTGCTCATCATTACAAGGGCATTTATATAAGCCATCTTCTTAAGTGCATTCCTAATAATTAATAGTCAAAATACAATTTGGAAATTTTTAATCTCTTTTAAGAAACTTTGAATTACTGAATTATCAGCCCAAATAAATCTGGTGGTGCTATCGAAAATGGCAGTTCCTGTAGCTGCAAAAATAAATGAATCAGATTACATGCAAAGTTTCCTTCAAGACCATAGGAAATCTTATTAACTTTCAAAGCCCACACCTTTTTTCCTACATTGGTAAATTAAGTGAATTTGGATTCTGCAAAATAGTTCGATTATTCTCCAATAATCAATAAAGATAAATTATCTTCCAATTTTAATGCAAATGTTGATGCTTACACATTATTCAATTGAGAATGGAATCTATTTTAATGTTAATCAAATTACTATTAAAGTAAGCTATGAGTCTACTCTAAAGTTGGTTCATTCTTAACTTCTCCAACCATAGCATTTTTTTTATTTTTGTATTCAATATAATCTGAACCATAAGCAAAACCTATCACACCATTCTTTGCTTTAAATTCATACTTAGGATCCTCCTTTGCATTCAAATTATCAATAAGTCCAAGACCAACTTAGTTTGCCTTCAATCCCATCAATTCCAAAGAATCCTTATTTCATTAATTAGTTCATACTTGAGTTGCATATGAGCCTGTAACTACTACACGACCTCCGTAAGTATTTTCAGTGGTTAATGGTACTTTTTTTTGATCATCTGCAGTTTTTGAATATTAGCAACTTCCTTCACATTTGAATATTTCTGCATCATTTGGGCAATTGGTACATTAGTTAGTCTCAGTTTATTTGCTATAAACCCATGAGATGTAAGAAGTAGTATCTATTGTTTATTTGAGTTAAGTCTGCCCCAAAGTCAATGGAATCTGAATTATTAATCAAGAATACTGTTAAAATGTAATCATCCAAATATTTTTTAGAGTCATCTTCAGTTGCTTTCAATTTATTGCTCTCAAATGATGAACTGCTAAAATGATTCTTCCTTCGAGTTTCAGAAGTTGCTTTCTCAAAATTAATTCTAACTTCAAAAGCTGAAATGCTCAGAATTAAAATACAAACTAATGCTAGATTCATAAATAAATAAATTTTATCAAATTTATTTCTTTTTTCGAGATTCAAAAAATTAAAGAAGATATTTATATAGCTAAATTATCAGGTATTAATAAATATTATAATATATAAATAAGTCATCTCTGCTATTTCAAATTAATTTAGGTTAGCAAATTTATAATACTATTTCTTAATCAGAGTCTGCAAGCTCAGTCTATTATGATATTGTTTATTATAGTATTAATTAGCATTTTATATTTACTATTTAGGTATTTAGGTCAACATTTTATGTATGATTTCATTAAATAAAGTTGGCATGAGAGCAATAATTGCATTTGTAGAAATATCAAGTGTAAGGTTCAATTGGAATTATCTTAATTCTAATTCTACTTATAAATAAATTAAGTTATCTAATTTCAAGTATGTATTCTTAAGCGTTTCATTTGATTTTTAGAATTTTGGATATATCATAAATTATAATTCAAATGAAGCATCATCTTGAGATATACACTAATTAATGCTTAATTTTCAAGTTAATTATAATTATACTTTGATACGATTAAAAATCGGATTTTTCAACTATTTATAATATAAATATGCTTGAACATATAAATATCGCTTTGCTCTTTGTAAAGTATGGCTTGCAATAACCACATTCTTAAGGATTTTAAATGTTTTGAGTACTTTTGAAGTTACCATTTATTTTTAAACTCTTACTTCAACAAAACTTTAAATTTATGAATACAAATAAAAGCATTGATAGACCCAAATCTATTATAGCTCCCATTATTACATTTATTTTTCTCATAATGCTTCAATTAAAGTATAATTTTTAATGGAAAATTCTTGTATTCCTAGAATCATCTACCTAATTGTCAATATTTTGAATCAATAAAGGATAAGATCAAAATCTAAGTAATTCATTCTTAATCTCAACTATTCAGTAGATTCTATGTAAAAATGCAGAAGTTAAATTAATAACTCTAAGGATAATTATTGAGCTTGCAAAGTAATTTTTCTCATCAGTGTAAAATAAAAAGTTTAATACTTTTGATAAATAGCGTCTGATCGTACCTGTTATATTAACTTGCAATTACAACATTTTGTTTCATCTAACTAGCTTGCTTAGAATTATATTAGTAAAATGATATCGAGTCACTGAGATCTTAGTTTATCAATTCAAACATTCTTTTGATTTATTAAAAGAGGTATAACACTTTAAATATCTGTTTAAGAAAATAGAAGAAATTGTGGAGATTAGCATTTAATATATTTTTGGAAAATGAAATTCAATCTTGCATTTACTCAATTATTTATTGTAATCTTCCATAAATTTATTATCTGCAGCTGGATCAACACATATATGTTTGAAAAACTAAAAATTTATTCATCAATTATGATCTAAATGTATATTATGGCATATTTTAAGTATTTCAGTTTCATGGTTGCATATTTCAACAGATTTGATTAAATCTTTATTATCTTTTTCAGCTTGATTGCCACCATAAAGTTAACTTTCTGAACTTAGATTATAAACAAGCGTTTGATTTCTGTAATTAAAACTTTAGGTGTAGAATGAAGATAATCTTAGAATTACCTTTATTCAGATTTGTTCTTTAGATTCGACTAATTAGGTTGATAACATGTAAGTTCTCATTGACTTCTCAGCAGCAGGATGCAAGTGTCCTGATTCATATGCAATGTAGACCTTCATGTAAGCTTCATTCCAAACCAGAAATCTAAAAATTTTCAAATGATTGCTTCTGATAGCCTAAAATTTGCAGTATTTCCTTAAATCTTTAATAGTAGAGTGCCTTCTCTCTCCCTATTATAGATTTCGACGTTTCCTTATATTATGGCTCTCTTTATCTCATGCAAGGAATCCTTTTAAATATATGCAAGGAATTTTTCATTATGAAAAGTTTCCATTAATTTAAATTATTATGTCTCAGAAAAAAGCAGATTTTGATTTCCTTGTGAAATTGCTTATCATTGGAGATAGTGGAGTTGGCAAAACTTGTTTGTTAATGAGATATTGTGAAAATCTGTTTACAAATAATCATTTGACCACTATTGGTATTATAAATTGCCACATTGCTAGGAATAGATTTTAAGTTAAAGACAATTGAAGTTGGAGGCAAGAAGGTTAAAATATAAATCTGGGACACTGCTGGTTAAGAAAGATTTAGAACCATCACTTAAACTTATTACAAAGGAGCCTAAGGAATTATTTTGGTTTATGGAGTTGACGATAAGGTTTCATTCTAAAGGTATTTTTTAAAAACCATTCTTAAGCATAGAAAATTGGATGAAGTAGATTAATACTCATGCCTAAGAGGGGGTAAGTAAATTGCTAGTTGCAAACAAAAGCGATTGTGCTGATAGAGTAGTTTAGACTTAAGAAGGTCAAAGATTGGCAGATCAATATGGTATCCCTTTTTTTGAAACTTCTGCTAAAAATGGCACCAATATCTATGAAATTTTCAATTCTATTGCCAAAATGGTTATAGATAAACAAAACAAAGATCCTCTTGATCGTCCATCCAATGTTTAATTATCATAGTAACCTCAAAGCGAGACTTAAAAAAAATAAGGAGGGTGCTGCTGACAATTTAAAATATATATTCAGAATATTCAATTGTTTTATACATTTCTACTCATTTTTCCATATAATTTCTTTCTGATATTCCAATTCCCTTCTATTTCTTTACTCTTTTTTCCCAAGGTTTTGTCCATAATACCCTTTGTTCCCCTTTAAAAATTCCCCTACTTCATTTAATTGCGATGAAGAACTCATTTATCATTAAATCAAGCCAACCAACTTACTCTTTACAGATAATTTTACCTTTAAGATTACATAATCAAAACTTAAAATTTATTTATAAGACATAAAAAATATCAAATTTCATCTTCTTATTGCTCCTTTAATAATGATATGTAGGTATTCTTAAATTAGACTTTAATTTTTGAAATTTTCATTATTAATTATAAGTACATTTATCAAAATTTTAAACGCTTTCTTATTATAAAAACAACCATCTTATTACTTTATAGAAGCCTTTCAAGATAAAACGGAGCCCATCATTTTATTTATAGGCAGTCTATGTCTTCAATTTAGATGAATTCATCAATTTATGTCTCCAAAATATTTATAGTCTACTTTTTCTTAAATAAATTTATTTAAATGATGCTTATTTCCTTATTTATTCACTTTTAACTGGCTGGTTTATAAAAGAAATAAAAAAAAATGGTCCTTGTTTTGAAATCAAATTTGATTTTCAAGTTTTATCATTATTTCTAGAATTTATATTATATAATATTTTAATGTAAGCGAAAAGATTAGTTCTTGACCCTTTTTGTTACAGACAGTTTGGAAAATAAGGAAGTTAATAAATTCTTTATGACCGAGAGAAATTTGTGGAAAAGGTGAATGAAGTATACAGAAAGGAAGATTTAAAGGATGGGTATAATTAATCGTATATTGTAGTTATGCTCCATTCTGTAAACATATATTTATAGAAAATTTCACAGAGACACCCAATTATATATTGAAAATAACATAAGAAAATGAGTATTTAATTAAAACAGCATATAAAGCAAGAAATGAAAGAGAAGTATAATTTATTATTTAATTGCTAAGTTGGCTGTTCTAACAAGGTTTATCCCAGCAGGTTCTATTGAGTTGCAAAAAGCAAAGTATTTAGACATAATCCTCTACTCAAAAGAATAAATTACTAAAGAAAATAAATCATAAGGAGTTGAGGATATTCATGGTGAAATTGATTATGATTTTGGCATAATTTCTATCAAACCATAAGATGAAAATACTGAAATACCAATGTTACCTATTACATCGATGAGAAACTCATTAGGAACTAAAGAAGGAGGCTCAGGAGTTGAGATGAACAAAGAAGAGTATTTAAAATCTGTGGACTTTTGGTCAAAACATATATTGGTTGAGTGATATTAAGTTAGACATATACATAAAATTAAATCTATTGCCTTAATGGCTTGTTTGCGCTGAAGAGTAACATTATAATGATGTATATAAAGTTCTTATTTGCCTTCCTTTTTGTTCTTTCCAGCTAATTTGAAAAATACTCTTTATCAAATTAATATTAAGTGCCATGTCTCCTTTGTATCTGCCTTGTAAATCATACAATTTCTTTGATTTGGAACCCACACTAGAATAACTAATAAAAATTTTATGAATTTTCTTTTTATCAAAAATTGAGCCAGAGGATTGAATTCCTAATCTTGACAACTACTAATACATGAATTAAGATGCATTTGTGAAATATAAATCTTCATTTACAAATGATATTTATTCAAATATCAATTTACCTAGGGATTGTTTATTAAGATCTGCTTTATTAAGGACTCTAATAATTATTATTAATGAATTATCAGTCATTACCTTAATTACAAAAGTTCAAACAAAGTGCTCAAACTCCTGATGAACATTCCAAAAGAGGTGATGAAGTGACTCGTTTGAAATAGCAGGTTCATCAATTGCAAAAATAAATTGAATTTGTTCAATAGAACAAATCTTTTGTCATGAAGATTCAGAATTAGCAATGCACTCTTTGTCTCAGATATAAAGTACTAAGGTACTTGATTTATTGTAGACTTAAATAGAACAACTAATTAAACAAGAAAAATAGATTAAGAAATATTATGAGTAGAAAATTGAAGAATTACTATAAAGTTTAAACAAAAAAAGTCTCAAATAAATGATCTCGTAAATCTAATAAACCGACCTTGTTCCAACTTTGAACAAGGAAGTTTAGGTATAATTGTTGATGGAATAATAACCTCAATAAAATTAAATTGAAAGTTTGAAGCAATCTCCTTTGGTGAAATAATACGAGGAAATTATAATAGATTTTCATAAAGATTACGAAAACAAAGCCTATTAAGTTTTATAATACAAAGAATTATATGAAAAGTAGAAATAACAATATGAGTAATTTAAATCTCAACACTTAAATTGTTATGATAAGATTCACAAATTACAAATAGAAGTTAACCTCCTGAAAGATACTTCAAATTAATACAAATTACCTGATAACATATTGAATCTTAAAAAGACTATTGATTGTACAATAGAATAAAATAAGATGAATCAAGTTGTAATGAAGACTTAGGAAGGTGATTCTACCATCAAGATCTATTAGAGGCTATAATAATTAGAGACTGATCTCTACATCAGTCTCAGATGCAGTAAATGCAAAGACATGTATACAAATCCTTCCACATTTGTTCCTTGTGGTCACAGTGTTTGTTCTAGATGTTAGAGTAATAGGTGTGAAAAATGTGATAAAAATGTTACTTATTATAGAAACAACAGTCTAGATCTGTTAATAAAGGTGTATTAATAGATAAGGGAAATTCAATAAAAAAGATGATAGATAAATATATATATATAATTGTTCAAGATTTAGTTCTTTTTTCATCTTTTAAAGCTTAGATTCTCCAACTTTCAGAGAATTCGTTTAACTTTTACATAAATTCTTGATGAAAACCAACATTATCTGAATGTTCTGGAAGTTTAAGTTTTTGCATCTATTTCTATTGGTGTTATGATATAGTTTATTTTTGATTCTACTATTTCTAATTAACCTGAGTAGATGTATTTTTCTTTTGGATATTGGATAGATCCAACTTCAATTTCACATTAGATTTAGTATCGAGAATGTTGGTATTTTGATATTCAAATTTTCTAACACTTTCAACGATTGATTCATTGTCAAACCTATTAAGGAAACAAAAGCTGGATTCATCTGAATCATTTACAACCGAATTGTCTGCGTCATGAACACTACGTTCGTAATGCTGATGTTTTTAGACAATGGATTTCTCTGTTTATTCAGCAACGCTATCATCATTTAAGACTTCTTCATTATATATTTTTTCGATGTCGACACCGCTTTTTTTGATTGCCAAAACCAATTTAATTAATTTTGCCTCTTTTTCACTCATCTCTTAAATCTTCTATTGCATGACATCCTGCATTTCTTTCAACTAGATTGTATCCATGCTGTCAACATTATTACTTTAGGTATTCTTGTTGTTTGCTATCTATTTCGGTGTTTTGAGTTATTTAACAGTCTCAAGCAAGATGTCTCTCTCTTACTCAATTTACTTATAATTATTTTACCATAGATCCTTTTCTCTGCGGATTTAGTCAATCAACTCGTAAAACTTCTCCTCTTGTTCGCATAAGAGTTGAATACACATACTGTTGAAGAGTTCGAATAGGTTACTCATTGTTTGCTGTTGGACATCATTCAAATCACTCAATGATACAAATTGGTGTTTGTATATTTGCATATTCTTTTGCTGTTTAATTAAATGCTCTTTATGGAATTCCCATCTGGAGAACTGTTTTTTATTAATCAAGGAGGCTTGGATTTAGGTGTTGAGATTCCAAAGTTCTTAATTCCTTTTGACTGGTTTCCTTTGGCCTGGACTCTGAGAATCACTCGTGAGGTTGCTAGTTAGATTCTATTTGGATCTATATAATAAGGTGTACACATACAGTTGCTGAAGGATGTTTGAGGAGAGGATGTGACTGTCCCCAATGATTTTTCGTAGTTTGAGTCCATTTTAAGATCCATACAATGAGTCATCTTCAACTTACATGGTGGCGAAAGCAGAGACACGACTTTTAGAACTGCTGTTGGTACGATTGTTGTTATTTTCCGAGATGTTGTTTTTGTGTTGCTTGTATCGCTTCTCTTCGATAGATTTGGAAGTGGGCATTGTTTATTTGATGGTCAAACGCTATTGTTGAAACTTTGGAGGGATATGGAAGAAGTTGTTGTGTTCTGGACAAATGTTTGGCTGAGATGTTTATTTCGGAATCACTACCCTTGCCATGGCTTCCTTCACCGTGTTGGGGGCTACTCGTTGCATTTCAGATAATTTAATTTTTATATAATCATCAATATTAAGTAATTGCTGGAACCAAATTGACCAATGAGATTAACGCTTTGATTACTGATTCTGGTCATGTTCATTGAATATTATGAGTGATTTTTTTACAATAAAAGTTATTCAACAATTATTGTAACAGTTCTTAAAATATTGATTTAATAACACTACATGTAGATTAGACCTTTAACAAAATGGAAAAGTCAAGATAAATCATAGAGGTTTTGATGTAATTCATACTGAATCACTCTATTAATATAATACATATGTCTGAATAAAATACTACATTTATATTTAAGTATCTTAAACAACAAATAATTCAAAAATATTTGAAATAAGTTCACAGTGAGTACACTATATTTAAATAAGGTATATAGTGTTCAATTGATTTATTGATTCACTTATCTAAAAATTTAAGTTAATATCAGAGGTAATATTAATAAATAATTTAAATTCAAAAAATATGAATACTTTATAGGAAAACAAATTATTTGTGTAGCAAATTAAACAGAAACAGGATGAGTTTAAAGTATAAATTTATCATAGAACAAGAAAACTATTCAAATTCCATTTAAGAAAGAGCCTCCTCTGTTGTAGCAGCATAATTTTAATTAGCTCACTTCTCCGAATTAAAGAAGAGAACAAACTCCAAATTAAAGAAAGGGCAAGATCGAAAGTACACCAGTCAATTAATAGTTAAGATGATAATTCGTGTTCCCCCACTCTTTTTCGTACTCCTTAGATTAGTTTGCATTACGAATAAAACAAAAAGCAGCATCAATTGAGTAATAACAGAAGTCGCAACGAAAACGTGTCAATTTACAAAGAGAGAAGAGAGCCAATCAATGACTCAGCGACTAAGGATTACTCCAGAGTGTTGGATGAGGTAATGAAAAAATACAGACAATTGAAATCAGAGCTATTGACTAAGGATAAGGAAGTGCAGAAGACAAGGTTTTACAAGGAGGAGTGGTTGAAGGAGAAGGTTTAAATATATCATCTATGATTTATATAGAAGCGTAATGAATAGTTACAAGAGAGAAACAAGATTTTAAAAACGAAAATGCTGAAAATCATTGAATTAGTTTAATAAGATTAGTTGAAATAGAATGATGATTCGGAGGTAGTATCATTCTATTAAAATATTAGTTAATAGGGTATAATAGCTAGTCTCTAAGCAGAAAATAAGCATTTGCGTTAAATGTTGCATCTATATGATGTGACAGACATCTCAAGTCAATTGGAGCAACTCGAAGGGGAGTAGGATTAGGAGGTAGTTTACATCGATAACATTTTGAATACATTCCTTGGTGATTTGAAAACCATACAAAAGAGTAGAAGAGAAAAGAAGGACAATTAATAATTAGGTACATGTGATGTGAATATTCAAGGTCAATTCAATTCATTGTCGCTAACAGTTTTGAACAAAGAATCAAGCTTTGTTGATTTATCAGAGGATAAGCTTTTAATGGAATAATCATGATTTAATTTATATTTTTAGATAATTGTCAACAGCATCTTGAATTATGTTTAATTGAAGTAGTAATTCTCATGATTGACGTGATAGTTATTTTACTTTATAAAATTAATAAAATGTAAAACAGAGACGAGATGATAAAACAGTTATAGAATCTATAAGACCCGTATGTACTGCAACGTCAGAGGTAATAGGATGTCAAAAGGAAATATGAGTAATTGTTGGCATAAGTCAATTTGATCTACGACGAAGATGGAAAGGAACGTCAATATTCAGTTGATTTTCAGAGATTCATTCATTTTTATAAATTTCTGGCTCGTCGACCAGACAGTGAACAGTCCAATTAATCAGTGATAAACAGGTTATAATTATGGGTACCTGACACAATAGTGCTGAATGATAGGGAAATGCCAAATTATTGGTTATATTCAGATTCCAGAGGCTATGTATTCCGAACAGATACCTTTACATCTAAAAATGTAATTAGCAAATTGGCCAATTACACATCCCCAGATGAACTCGTAGCTGTTGTTAAAAAACAATAATTTCGCAATATGGAATTAGTAGGCAACGAAGTAAAGTTGGTTTGCTGTAGAGATTTGCAATCATAGATAAATGTTAACTTCTCAAATCGTATGGATCTTTGCGTCATCCAGAAATTTGTCAAGAGCAATGGACCCAAAGCGTTTATATGTCGAACCATTTGGAGAAAAGATAAGAACCCCTACTGCTATATCATAACAAACAAAGAGGATTTCTTCTCTCAATCAACCAATCCCAAGACTGAAATGACCAAATATGCTACGAATGTGAATCTGCAGAACTCATGCACTATTGTCAATACTTGTCGAGGTAAATATGTTGATGAAACTGTCCCATATGTCAAGAATCTTCTCACATACCTCTATATACATTTGCATATCACATTTAAAGAATTCTCAGCTGATTTCATTAAAGATGAAAGTGGAATCTGGTGGTTTGTCAATGTGAAGGGATTCATAATTGACAAAAGTCCAGAAAAGATCATGTGGAAGTCTGTCACTCATTATGGAGAAGAGATAAATGAGGAAGGATAACCTATAGTTTAAGAACACGTTTCAACTCCCAAGGCCAAAGTTGCTGACATGTGCTAAAAGCAAAAGATATGCAAGTATTGTGAGCAATCCTACCCAGAATAACATCTACAATATAAGATGACTCTTAAGATGATCATCCAAACTGATAAGCATCTCTACTGGAGAGGTAAGACATTCAATTGGATTGACAGATCTGATGTCACCAATCTTGAAGTCAGCAATCTTTATCATGAACATAAGGTGTGCAAACAATGTTACACTTTATATAAGGAAACAGAATAGCTAATTGAATTGTAATTGCAATTCAATAAGTTGTTGGGATTGCCCAGTGATTATGACACCATGAATTAGATGTTGACACTCAAAGCCAATCAAGTAAACAATGAAACTGTTAAGACTGGATTGGAGGATTCTAAATAAATATTCAACATCTCTGCCACCAAGCAATTGATACTGAATAATTAACTTATTCCTATGATTCATAACACAGTCATCAAAAACTTGAATAGATTTAGATTTATGATATTGATTCATTCAATCAGAGATGTACCTTAAAATGTTGATTTGTCTAAACATTATTACATTGAATGCAACATATTTGAGTAGAAATTCAAAATCAAATTAGATTTGATCTAAGGTTAATTATTTGATAAAGGGTATTTCCTAACACTAAATCGTATGCGACTATACTATTTCTTTAGTGATCAACGTAAAGGTTGGATAGAGTATGTGAATCAGTTAAAAGTACTTCCAATGTATTTATACTAAGACAATACAAGGATTGGTACATTAGAACTAGAACTCTAAGAACTATTATCAGAAAGAGTTATAAGAAGAGAATTCCTTAAGGTGTTTAGTGTGAAGGATTGTTATCCAATATTGAGTTGGTCACTAAATGTATATAATGTTTAATAATTTAGCTAACATTAGGACTTGTGGATTCAGGACCAGTAAATGTTACTAGAATTAAGTTACAAGACCATTTTGGAATTCAATTACCAAATCCTGATTATTGCACCTGTGAACCTTTGCCTGCTGAATGGATGACCATATTAAATCAGAAGAAGGATGTGGAGTAATCTAGATTTGAAAGATAAATGACCGCTTAGACTTTAAAGAGAGTTTCCACAGCCCATGCCAAATTGTAGAAAAGTAAATTCGAAGGATCTTCAGTCTAATAAGAAATGGAGTCCTTCAATGATTCAACTAAGGAGTTGTACAGTTAACTAAATTTAAAGAAAGAAATTTAATTGTATGAAGTAGATGAGGAAGAACGTAAATAAAAGAAAAGAAGACACTTTTAATAGTATGATTTATGATATAGTTTTTTTTGTTAATTATCATAATGTTATAATCAAACCCAATTTCTTAAAATCAGCAATCTTCTATTTTACATTCCTGGCATTTATCTTATTCTATGACACAATTATATTCTTAAGATGAATGCCAATCAATCCATTCTGATATAACTAGAATAAAGTATCGATGCTTTTATCAGTTAATGAATTTTGTGATAAATTCACACTCTAAATATTATCATTCTATGACAAAGCTACATTAAATAAATCAATAAAATAACATACCCTTAAATAACTACAAGAGTTGATCATCCAACAATTTGGATTTCATAATTTTCACACTTTTGACCTTCCAATGTTTAATTTCATTCCCCAAAACTACCAACATATCTTTCTCTAAATTATTGAATTCAGCCACATCTGTCTTACCCTTTCTCAATTCATCCATATACAACTGTAATTTCATTGGGACCTAAGATTTCTTTCTGCAAATTGAAGCTCTATTACTTTCCTACAATTTTAGTTACTAAATTACTATCGGTGATAAGGTGGGATCGCAATTTTCAGTATTCATTAGATTAGTGGGAGTGGCACTCCTATAAACTCTCTTGATTTAATTAACAGGCTCTGCTTCATTTGCAAATGTAGCACTTACATCATTTAATAGATCTGTTTCCTCTATTGATTATTGCATATTAAACGAACTTAATAAATATGGCGATTATTGAGACTAGTTATTATTGGTAGTGGTCAATTCAGGCCCTTCAATTATTCTGCAGAAGTCTTCAAATTTGAATGCATTCCAATTAAATTTAACATTGATTTCTAAACCTATCAATTGATCTTTTTTTGTTCTAATCTGTTATTAGTTTTTCTTGATTTCTCTTATTTAATTAACAAATACTCTTACTATTATAGTTGAAGTCCATTGGCTCTCAAACTATCAGTTAGATTCAGTAATTCCCAATATTTAACTTATTCTGTGAATTACTCAAAAGCACTTTATGCTAATTTAATCCAAGATTGACATTCCTTCTCTATATGGATAGTGTTGTTCCACCAATCACTAAACTTGTTGATGTTATTGGAGGTAGCAATCATTATTTGAGACACTAACTAAGATTAGAAAAAGTAAACACTTACAATCTTTTCTTTTTAATCTATTTTATCTCTCAATTCTGCAAATTCCTTCTTTAACTTATCAACAGCAATTCGTTGCATTTCTGAAACTTAAGCTTAGAAGTCCTATTCATGCTTGCTTCTTGAAATAGACTAGGATTCTTTATGAATTCTCTCAACCATCTCTGTAAGTTCCTGAGCCTTCATCTCTAACAGTGAAATAATGTCCTCCTCACTATAAATATAATGACCTTTATGACTTCCAAATAAAGCACAATTTGTACAAATCATAGTTTGACACTGGAGACAAACAACTTCGAGTTGTCTGCGATGAGTTTGGCACAGCTTCCCAGAATTGTATGAATAATTAAGAGAACCAAAACTATCGTCTTGATCTCTGAATCGTTTCAAATTCAACTTTTAGGGTTTCTTTACAGAAGTGGCCAATTCGTCCAAAAAATTGCTGTCAATACTTGTTTCATCTGATGGCCATTCCTCAAAAGTTTGATTATTCATTTTGGATTCTAAATTCATTGGTCTTAGATTCTTTGATTTTTGCAATTACAGAATTCGTAATAGGCTCTGATTGAGAGGAAAGTCGTCCAGTTTCAATTAGTTTTATTTGATTTATTATAACTAATTTTAATTGGGAAACACTACTTGAGTCAAATCATTTTATAAATGTATAATCTTATCAGCCTCAATGGTTTAGTCGACTATTTGTTACACGCACAATTAGCAAATCGTGTCTCCTGTATTTGGAATCAAGCGAGGCCATCTTACACAGATGTCTAATTCTTGCCCGCAAATTGAACATAAGAGTTCCATAACGATTTAATTTTAAATTTTATAGAATATTTATAATTGTTTCTATTTTATAATAGTGTTGTCGTTTTTTATATCTATTTTTATGTGTCTTTGCGGATTCGTGAGTTTGTGATCCCAAGGAGTACGAAGATTGGATTGTGTCTTAGAATAACTCATATTTGATAGGTTCGAATCACGCGTTAAAACATTATAAATTTTATTTTCTAATGTAAGACGATCGGGTTAGATACATGTATGACTTTTATTTCATAAAAGGAATTCTGTGTATTCTGAACATAGAAAGGATCTTTCTAAAAACATGGATGTTGTGTGTTTTGCTATGGCAGTTGAGTTGGACAGATTGGTACAAGAAAACAATTTGCTTAAAGAGGAAGTCAAAGAAATCTCAAATCTTAGAGTCGATCGACTCAATTACGAAAAGCAAATTGGAGATCTGATGAACAGATTGCAATCGCTCATGGCTGAAAATGATATGCTAAAACGGGATAATGACAAATTGAAGGCTCAACTAAATTCATCCAATCAGAGAGCCCAACAACTGGAAGGACAAGTAAAGGACTTTTAATAGGAGATACAATTGGTCTCCAATAAATTGGAAGACATCACTGGAGGAGATGGTGGTAAATCAAATAGTATGATCTTTTATTTTAGATTTTGACATCGAAGCCTTAAAATAAAAGGCAGAGTTGTTGGATAATTTGGCTAAGGATGGACAATCAATGGAAGACTTATCAGATTTATTGGATTCTCTTAGAGATAAAGCAGAAAAATATGATCATCATTTAGAATTGTTAAATGGAAGAGACCTTGAAGATGTATTGAATGATCTCGACGAATTGGAAAAGCTAAGGAAACTAGTTAAAGAACTTTAAGCAAAGGTGAGTGATTTATAGAAGGAATTGGAAGCATTAAAGAAAAAATCCAAAGAATTAGATGACATGAAGAAGAAATTGGGAGATGATCCCAATAAGGAAGTCGATAAATTGAGAAAACAATAGAAAGACTAAGAAGATCTCAAAAAGAAATTGGCTGATGCCTTGAAGGAAATTGAATAATTGAAGAAATCATTGAATGATAAAAATGCTGAATGCAATAAGTTAGGTTAATAGGTTGCTTAACTCACTTAGGACAATTAGGTTAAAGATCAAAGAATTTAGGAATTGGAAAGATATGCTCAATAATACTAGGAATTACAAATCAAGGTCAATAAATTGGAACAAGAATTAGATAATCTATAAAGATAGTTGAGAGATAAAAACCAATAATTAGAAGAGAAGACTAGATTGATTGATAATTTAAATAGAGAAATCTAATAATTGAAAGCTGAATTATAAAGATTAAAAGATTAGATTGCCAATTTGGAGAGAGAAAAATAATAATTGTTGTAGTAATTGTAATAATTGCAAAATTAACTTGCTTAATTGTAAGACTAACTAAGAAATGCTTAAGGATAATTACAACAATTAAACTCAATTGCTAATCAAAATGATGATGATAAGGAGAGATATGAGCAAGAAATAGATGAATTGAAAAATGAGATTGAATCACTCAAAGAATAAATTGATGAATTAAATGATGAAATAGCAAAGTTAAAAAGAAAGATATCAGAATAGGATGATTAGATTGATTCATAAACTAAAACCATATCCAATAAAATTGCAAGAATTAAAGAATTAGAAGATCTTTTGAATCAAAAAGAAAAGGCCATCAAAGAATAAGAAAGTAAAATAAAGAAATTACCAGGATCCAGTGTGGTTGTTGGTGGAAGAGCAGGGTAACCAGCATAGGCATTACAAGGAGGATCTGATGTTATCAACAAATCCTTGGCCAGTTAATTGTAGGGAGGAACAGGTTAACCAGGTAGTTTGGGATCTAAAAGTGGACTTGCTGGCTTAGGATAAGGAGATGAATCTTAAAGTACAGTGTTATTGAGTCAATATCAAAATGTTTTATTGGCTTATTTATTGATTGCTGCTGAAAATGAAAGAATTAGTGAGGCCTTAAGAAACACAGTTCAAGATTACGAATAGGTATTAAATGATTTGAGAAATGCTGAAGGAGAGATTTCTTATTTAAAGAAATCTATATCTGATTTACAAACTTAAATTAATGATGTAAATAATAATTTCATTTTTAGCTTCGATTGTAATTGGATGAGGCAAGAAGAAAGGCCATGAATAATGATGAACTTGAAAAACTAAGAAGACAATTAACAGAGTACGAGAACAAACTAGCCTTATTATCAATGGAATTGTAGAGATAGAGAACAGTCTCTGGTTCAGGACTATAAGGAACCTCTTAACAACTTATTTCTTAATAAAATACATTTGGATATGAGGATAAATAGATCAATTTTGATTAATAATACAGGTCACCAAGAGGTTCACAAAGAAATGTGAATATCAATGTCAATGGTGAGGACGAGTCTTGGAGATTGAAGAAAATAATTGAAGATTAATTATGTTTGATAGTCCTTATGTCAGCTGAGCTTGAAACCTTAAGATCTTAAGAGACAGCTAATTAAAGATTGAATTAATCAGGAGTTCAGAGATCAACTATCCAAACCAGCTAAGTTTAGGTTGGATATGGAAAAAGCACAATATATTGAATAATCATATATTGAAACATCAATAAATTATAAGTATTTAGATTTATTATTAATCATTTCAGCATTATTTCTTTAAAGATGTATATTAGTTCTGCAGTAATTATTGATTATCTTATTTTTTGTAAATTAAACCATTTGTTCTCTCTCTCAAAAATGAAAAAGTAAGTCTTAAATAGAGGTATTTGAAACTTTTCTCATTTTATATAGATTATCAAATTTAGCATTCATAACTAATGTTAAGTATGACAGATGCATAAATCTTAGACAAGACAACATATGATCTATAAAGTATGTGTTTGATACGATTATCAAATCTATTGTTATATTTTAGTTTTCTCCTTAATTCTATACATCCCTTTTTGAGTATTTGCATGAAATCATTTTATAGATGTTGTCTTAGTTAGTTCAAGAATGGTATTGATTCCTTAATCATTCAGTGCATCTTAAATATTTTAACAGAGAGTCAATATGAATTGGAGACTCATAATCACTTTTTTCATCATTGTTCTCAATTGCTAATTTATTGTTGTGTTATTTCTGCATCTAAGCCCATGATTTGCTAGCCATTCTCTCCTATCAGTATATTTTATTTGAGTAGATGTGAATTGTATTAGATTTCTGTATTTACAAACTCATAATCAATGATTCATTAATATATGATAAAGAAATAAGTAAAATCAAAATCTCCAACCCCTATTAAATAACATACTGCTATAGACACTCCGAAATTCAAAGAAAAGGCTTCTCAGCAACCTCAAATGGTTTAGTTCCCTAAAATTCAAATAGAATCAGAATACTTCTCTTTTTGTGGAATCTAGCAATACAAAAAGCATTCGAAATCTGTGCATGATTTAGGCGACAAAGAAAAGAAGCTCAACAATAGTTTCACAAAAGATAAAAAAGTTAGTGACTCCAAAACTTAGAAGGTTTAGATTTTTAATAACAACTACCAAATTATCAATATAAATCAAATTGAGAAGAAAGAATCAATACGTTCTCTCCAAAGAGAATTTAAATAAATTTTAGAACACAAAGCACCAAACAAGGCATCTACACCTGTCAAATAGAATTCATCAAATAGCCCTATGTAAATGGGTACTAAAATTTCTGCCTACCCTTCAGCTAATAATTACTTCTAAAGAATCAAAAAACTCGGTTAATCCACTTTGTTAAGGAAAAAGTTTTGATTAATAAATATATATATGAATTAAACGAGCCTCTCCCCAAGAGTTCACAACATTAGATTCGATCAATTTTGCTCGAATATCAAAAGTTTATCTCGATGTAAAACTGAAATGGGTATAGTTCATTAAAAACCAATAATCAACTTAAAACAAATTCTTAAGGATCACAAATCATTTAGTAATCATACTCAAATTGAAACAACTCGAACATGTATTGTGGCGACCGACTAGCAAAAGAGATTTCTATTATAAAAACGAGGGTCTAGAGTTGTAACATCAAAACCAAGGTACTCTGAAGAATTGGAGAAAATAAAATAAAAATTTATTAAATTAGCAGAAGGTTGGCATCAAAAAGAAGAAAATTATCTCAAACAGCAATCTATTTTGAAATAAGAAATCGCAAGACTGCATGTGATTATTTAGCATCTGACAAAAAAATGAAAACCTTCCTATTTATTTTATTACTAAACTTAATTGTCAATTCACTATTATCATCATATTATCCTTCATTGTAATATATCAATAAGTGGATTGTAACATGATTTTTAATGACAGATAACTTAAATTACGATTATAAATCTTGATTTTTATTATATTTCAATTATTTAATGTGTGTAATCTTTGCTAAGCTATACACTGTAACGTTGAAAGTTTGAATCGGTCAACAATAACCTTTCTTCCAGATTTATTTACATCAAATATTGGTTCGTTTCCTTCAGTACTAAGTACTCTTTTCTTTAAGAGAATATCATTAAATGTCCTACATTTAGTTGTATTGCTTTTTTCCTAAATTAATAAGCATCTTAAATACCTTAATCTACCATAATAACCCAGCTATGTATTTTTTCTGATCTTCAACTTATTCGCCTAAAAATGATATAGCTTTTTTCTATTTTTCCTTGTCAATTGTTGTCGTAAGATCATGTCTCATCAATCTTTTCTTCAAACCCTTAATTTCTGTAGTGAGGTCTTCATTTTTCTCAGATAATTATTTATATTATTCTTCCCAAATATTTATTTATTATTTACTTATTATTTGATAAGACTTTAAAAATATATCTCCTATTATTTCAACTAATTTAAAAGATCCTATTGATTTGGCAATTTCGGTTTATATAACTATTCACATGAGCATTCATCTGAGACTGCAATTCTAGCAAATTCTGACTCATAGAGTTTAAATTCTGTGAAAAATGTTAATAACTTAGTCAATTTAAGAGATAATCTCAAGTTCTTCATTTTTAAATCTTCTACTTAATTTTATAGGTAGTCTATCATTTTTTGGTCCTCCATCTCTTAAAAGACTGATTTCTTATTTTATGGATGCAATTAAAATTAATTTTGAAGATGGTTTATAGTAGCACTATATCCACGAATTATCATTTCTTATTCAGCTATTATTTTATCCTTTTCTTCGTTTTTTTTCTCTAATACTGCAATCTTAACATTAGCATTAATTAAGTTTTAATAATCTTCTTATATTTGTTCTTTCAACTTTTCTTATTTCGTTTGCAATTACTTCTCCACTAATTCTAAAAATTCTGCTTTTTGTCTAATAAACTTATGCTCTAGTTCAACTTTTATCGATTTTCTCAACCTGTTGGTCTCCATAAATTTTATTAATTAATAATATTTTATTTTATAAAAATACTTTTATATCAGCATTAATTATAAAATCATTAAAAATGAGTTATCAATTATTATAAACCTTTAGAAATAAAATCTTAGTTGATCATTTGATTGCTTATCAATCATTTAATTCAACCAAAGTCATGGAGAACAAATTTCAACTAGAAATCCAGTTATAATTAAATAAATGATAAAACCATTATGTTATATAATTAAAAAATAAATATATTAATAAAAATAAATGTCCAAAATCGATTGGGAATAAAAACTCAAATGTTATCATGCTCTAAAAGATAGAAAATCGATTACCAATATGCTTTAAATTAAAACAAAAAATATCAGATTATCACCATCGTTGGTATCATCAACAAGAGCAGGAACTGAAAGAAATTCTTTTAGACATAAGAGATTTAAGACTCCAATCGAAGATGGAATATAGCAAATAAAAACTAGTAGATCGTAATAAGTATGTAAAGATAATTGAGGAGGTATCTCCATTAAGGGACGTGTGTCCTTGGAACACTCAGACACCATTGCAGAAATTCATGAAGATTGATAAAGCCACAGAGAAAGAAAAAAAGGTTTTATAGTAATTTATATGCAATAAATGGCTAAAAGAGGTTATTTTAAAGAAAAGCATTCATGTAGCTATTCCAAAGGAATCCGAAGAGGAGAAGAGAATTAGACTCTAAGAATTTGAGACCTCTGAACATCATCGATAGTTAAGAATATAGCAATCATTAACACCGAGCATGAGTAAAATGGAGAAGGTGTTATGCAAAATAAAAATCTTTTGCAAGTTAGCAAGTTAGCGTGGCATACCTCTAAGTGATTAGATAAGAATCAATAATGATTACCGTCGCTTAGTGTTTTTTGTGCATTTTCGAAATGAAGATTACAAAATATGTGATCAAATGATCAATTCGGATCCTCATATAAAAAATGCAATCGATATGGTATAAAATACCTCAATTTAAAGTAAGGTGATAGGCCTTTACATATTGCAGTTAGGAGAAATAATTTGAGATAATTAACATATATATTGAGTAAGTAGCCTGACTTAGAAGCGATCAATTTTTATGAGTAGACAGCACTCAATTTAGCGATATTGTTGAAACATGTAGAAATCCAGAAGGTATTGTTGTGAGATAAAAAGATTCTCTTAGCCAATGGATGTAGTCCTTGGAAGATATTCAAACCGAACAAGTTAGTGAGGACAGCCATTCTCTATAGGATGAGAATGATATGTGAGCATACCCAATTATACGATGAGTTGTCCTATTGTCTGAATATAATTAATTGATATTTTATTATTTTATGGATAAATTTGAAAAGCGTCTTAATCAAGTAAACATGGGTACTCCCAAAAATCCTGTTGTCTAATAATCTACAATGAAATAAACTGATGCAGCAAAGAGTTATGCTTCTTTTAATGATTTTAATAAGATGGGAGAATAATACGATAATGAAGCTGTTAATTTGAGGTCGCAAGTACAAATCTTAGAAGGAAAGCTGTAATTTTACGAACGGGAGTTTCAAATTAAAGTAAATATCATTTTCTTACAAATTTAAGTAAGTATCTCTTGAGAAACGTATATAATAATTGATATCTACCTCATCCTAACTAACTCAACAGAATACGCAATTAAAGTTGTAATACTCAGCATTATTGAATGAATATCAACTTCTTTAGGAGAAAATGATCTAATAGGAGAAAGGACAGAAGGAGTACGAGGAGAAAGTGAGATCATAATTTGATGGCTTGAATAAATTTCAAATAGAAAAAGAATAATTAATTTAATATGCAAATAAATGTAGGGAGAGATCAAAATAGAGAAAAGTCAAAGTGAAGGACTTAACAGTTAAGGTTTAAGAGTTGCAAGAATAGGTGAAATAATATGAATTGTAGTATGAGTAAGCCAATATCGAGAAACAATAGATATATGATTAATTTCAATAACAGATTGTATTGCTTTCAGAATAAAATGAAGAGTGGCAAATGAAATATGAAGCAATGGTAGAAAATTTTAAGAATCATTTAGCAAATCAAAATGATAGCTAATAGGAGGAGCAACTATTAGCCACCCATACTATTCTGGATCAACAAGAGGCTGAGACTGTGTAATAATAATTGGAGAATCTAAGTTTGTTAAACAAGGAGCTTAATTAATTGTTGAGTCAGTTGAAAAATGCTAATCAAATTAATTCTTAAGTATTTGAAATGCCTCAAATAAAAGAATTAGCAGATATGTTCAGTCGAATGATAGATAAATTGATGGAATTATAATAGAAAAAGACTTAGCTGAAAGAATAACTAAAAGTATATATATTTATTAATATGCCTACAGGTAAATTAATTCAACCTATAACAGCAGATTTCAATTAAGTCTAGTTCTGGGAATTAGAGTCCGAATATGCATGATGAGAGAACTAAAATGCTTTTTGAATAAAGAATTCTTGAATTAGAACAGTATGATTGATTTAATAGTAGATTCTATTAGAAAGACAAGAAACAAGAAAAGGTTCGATCCATCACTTAACCAAAATCTAATGATAGAAAACTCTAATAAGTAATGTCTGTAATCGTTTAAATGTTGGAAGAATTTCTAACGCAATAAAAAAATCTCTCTCTTTTGAATCATCATTTGAATGATATGCAGTAGGATCCAAACTTTAAACCAAGCAAAAGATCTTTCAAAGTTGGAACTTGGGTTATTATTGCCATAAATCGTATTAAGCGAATAAAGGGTTCCTCATATTATCAATAATTTGTAACATACAAAAAATTGAAAATTGAAATGCCAATTGTCGATTCCTTGAATTAAATCTTGGAACTTGTGACTGGTCAACAATCTTTAATTGATACTTTGCAAAGAGCAATCGAATAAAAAGGGTTTGATGGTGGATTTTAAGAGTAAGAAATCTAATAGATGGTTGATTAAGAATTAAGATAACAATTAATGGCTTTGTAGATAGAACTTGATAACAACAATAAGAAGATGATGGAATATAAACTGAAATCAGAATAAGACATCGAATAGAGAGATCAATTAATAGAAGAGTTGTAGTAATAATTGTCGGAACTTCCAAATGATTACAATTAGGAACTACTGGAACATTTGGAAGATCAAAACAATAGAGTGAAAACTATAGAAAATGAATTTAATGTATTGCAAGACCTTGTCAATTCGCTAATGTGATTTATTATTAATCCAAATTCATTTATTATTCATTTTGGATTCAAACTAATAGAAAAGAGAAATTTCTAATACAAAAAACAGATAATAATTTTAATATTTAAAGGTGACTTCTTAAGATTTAAAAAATACAAATATTACGGAAATAAGATTCAATTCTCTAATTTATCCAAATTATTTAACGCTGATTCTTGTTGCTGCTACTGATCTTAATTTTCGACTCTACGTTTTTTGTTATATTGGTTAATGTAGCAGTTTTAGCATAATCCACCTAGAAAATCAATATTATCATCTTACAAGCATATAATTTTTTATGAGAGCAAAGCCATGGCTGCTTGTTTCTACCGACACGATGGTAGCAATTATTGCACATTCCTTTTGCATAATGTTCTTTATCTGGATGTCCACAAGTATTTATTTTTTTGCTTCTAATTTAGTATGTAGAAACGACTTACATTTTCTTGTTGATTGCTTTGGGAATCTCTTTTTCATTTGGCAATCCATCAAATTACATAACTCTTGCATTTGTATCAGCCAACTGGCGTTACAGCATTTCCTATTACGTCATTTAGTAGATGGGTGGAAGAACTTAGTCGTTCTCCTCCACTTTGATTGAAGGATTCATTAGATTTAGTGTAGTCTAATTACGATCGCCACTAAGGTTGAAACGCATAACTTATAAGGTTTAGGTTTAAAAACTTACATTGAAGACTTTAAAGTAGTGGGTGAAAAAAATTCATTTTATATTTATTAATTAATAATATTTTTTACAATTTAACGATCATGAATACCTCTTTTCCTAAAATATAACATCTTCATCGTTAAGTCAATCTCTCTTTCCTGAACTAAGCTTGAAAGTTCAAATTTCATTTTATTCTTTGAAGAACCAAAGTTCTAACAAAACTTTAGAGATTTATTTAAGGATTCAACTAACAGAATGGGAGTAATGGGCTTGAATTATTTCAATTAATACTTTGAATTATGGTTTTATTTTAGTTATTGATAAATAAGTTAGAGATCTTTAATTGAGTAGTGTTAATGAATTTGAATATTAAAAGGAGATAATTAAAATAGAATTTTGTTGAGAGATAATAAGAGTTGGTTGAAAACAATCTAAATAAAAATATGCTTTGTTTAAAAGACTTCATCATCAAATGAAACAGCAAGTATAAAACGGGTTTTATAAGTAATTGATTAGATGCAATATTTATCTGAATCTTTGAATTAGTAACTGAATAAATTCATACATTAATTAATAAGGGAAAATGAAAATTAGAAGATTTAGCAGTTAGACTTACTGGAGCAACTAGAAAAGATTTGAATATATTACTTAACTTGATAGAATTGAATCTTTAAAAAATATTAGTAAATTGGAGAAGGAAATTTCTCAAATAGAAGAACTAGATCATTATAATTATCTGATTATCAATATTTATGGAGTTTTCATATTCCAATACTAATTGAAGTATCTGTTTAACCCCAATATATATTCAGTGATTAATTATAGAATAAAATAACACCACTCAGCAATTTATTTATAAATTTTCATAGATTATTTATTTGTAAGATTTACAATTGTCTTGGATGACTTGCTCTGAGAAATTTTTGTAGTTTTTCCTAAAATTATTTATACGCTTGAAAATGGTTTTGGTTTTAGCTAGTAGAATTTTTTTTCTCTTTAAATATCATTATATATTTTTTTTAATATTTTTTTTAATACATAGAAAAAGGGATGATGTATTTTTCCCCTTTTAAATACTAATTAGAAGATTAAATAGTTATCGATTTATACCCTCCTTGGATAGATAAACATAAATATTTAGAACACTAGGATTATCGATTTTTCGAAAAATTAAACTATAAGTCTGAGAATTTAGCTTTATAAAATAACCCAGAAGATCTTAGAGACTTGATGATAGTTCTTAAAGAAAAATAATTGTATTCTTTGGAAAAAATTTAAAAAGAATTAATTGAAATTTTAGAAAATAAAAAGAAGGTGTATAATCTTGAATTAGATGATCTAATTACATAACTTAAAACATTTTTTTAATTTTTCGATATTAAGCAGAGAAAACATAATATTCCTATTAACTTTATTCAATAATTAGTTGATCCTGAAACGAATCTTAATCAAACAATAAATGCTCTGCCTTATTGGTAAAAGACTATAATATAAATTATAAAACAAATCTTACTCAAGTATTAACTTCTATTGAAGGCAACCAATAAAGAAGAAATCCTAAATTTGATCTTCCCTACTCATGAAGAATGTCATAAGTATATTTTCAAAATACTTTTAGATCGAGAATATTAATTGGGCCAACCATATTTGGATTATAAAATGGCAAATTTATATATATAGTTGATGGAGTTGAAAAATAGGTAATAGTCAATACTAAATCAGGGAGGAGAAATGTAGATGGGTAAAAAGATAGGACTTTGGAAAGAATATGGAATATTAGGAGATGATTTTATAAGCCAAATCTCTTTGTAAATCCAATATGATTAAGGAATGATCAGATATATTAAGGATGGAGAAATATTAAAACAGTATAATTAGATAATTATAAAGATGTAATTAATTTGATCATGTTTTGTTGAAAAATATCCAATAAATTAAATATCTGGGATGGCATGGAAATTATAATAATGGTAAGAAATCTGGAAAGTTTTAAATTATTTGGAAAGGTGAAAACTTGAATATCGGTGGGGAATATAATGAAAAAGGTGAGAAGTTTGGTTTATGGACTGAGTTATTCGAAAATTATGGAGAGTATTAATTTTATTTGTTCATTATAGTTAATCCCAAGTTTAGTATATTGGGCAATATTAGGAGGGGAAAAAATGTGGCTCATGGACTCTCTAGTACGAAAAGAATTTGGAAACAATCACTATGTATATATAAAATTCAGCAAAAGGCCTTTGGGAAAGTTTAACGAAGAAGGATTGAAAGAAGGAGTGTGGTTGGAATTGCATGAAAATTTTTGGGAGTAAAATTTATAATTTAAATCAGTGAATGTTAAGTCTGTTATACTGGATAGTATAGGAAAGGAGTGAGGAATGGTTTTTGGGCTATGAGATAATTTATTTAAGGGCGCAATATAATGTAATTTGAATGCAAATTATCTATTAGAGGAGGAGGATTTTATAATCAAAAAGGAATGAAAAGTGGAGAATGGATTGAATGGAATGAAGGATATTTTGAGAAGTAATTTATTATGAGGTATTTGAAGAAATTTAATATTGGAAGTTGGAGATTATGAAAATGGTAGAAAAATTGGAAATTGGTATTCAAATAAAATAAAAATAACTTCATGTCTCGATCATCATTCATCAGAGCGTTCTTTAAATAAATATCATTTTTTTGGTGATTATAAAGATGGAGTAAAAGTTGGATAGTGGGATTACTACTTAGAGATGAATATGAATAAGAAATACAAGTTAATGTAATTTTTAATATTTATTGTAACAGAGGAGGAGGAATATATGATGATAAAGGTATGAAAAATGGATAATGGATTGAATTATATAAGAATTTCGAAAAGTAATTATTTTATAAACGTTCATCAGTAACGAAGAAGTATGGTTTGGTTAATATAAGAATGGAAAGAAATTTGGCTCTTGGGAAAACAAAACCAAAATGTATATGTCATATAATTATATATATTCAGATTTGGAGGCGTGTACGATTCTAATGGAGTCAAATAAGGAAATTGGAGATTACAAAATTAGTTTCATTATCATAATTTATTTTAAGTCAACAAAGGGCTTTCAACCATTAGAATGGATAATATATTAATGGAAGAAAAATTGGAAATTGGTATATAAGATTTGGTCATTTCTCAGAAAGTGCTTTGTAAAATTCATATCAAAATCTTTAGCTGTGAAGGTCAATATAATCATTAAGGAATGAGGAATGGTCAATGGAAGGAATTGAAAAATAAAGATAATGAAAAGTGTACAATTATTTATGAAGGAAAATATGATAACGGTTTCTAAATAGGAAAATGGGATATATATGATTGTAATTAAAAGAGACATCTGTAAATATCTTTATTTATAAGCACCTATAGAGGTGGTGGTACATACATTTAAGAAGGAGTTAAAGATGGCATATGGACTGAATTGCATGAGAATTTTTTTTAGTATAAATAAAGATTAATATATTAGTCGTGTTGAAGTAAGATATGATGGATAATATTAAAGTGGAATAAAAATTGGAGAATGGAAAATATTGAGAAAAGGTATGAATAAGCAGGATTATAAATAAATGTACATGCTTCATATTATTTCAATAGGGGAGGCGGTTCTTATGATGATTAAGGAATGAAAATCGGGTATTGGCAAGATTTGCAAAAAAATTAGTATTCTATCATTAATTAACAAGATTTTGGAACAATTTAGTCGTCGGTAGCTATAGTCAAGGCAAAAAAATTGGCATATTCAAAAAAAAAGAGGTAAAAAAAAAAGTTTGATTATTATTTTAAAAATTTGCAACTTTTCTTAATTATCTGAATTCTAAGAAGTTTCATTAAATGTCTACTAAGGTTTAGAGCAATCTCGAAAAATATCAGTAAAACATATAATCCAACATTAAAATACTTTATTTGTGTTGATGCAATTTATCATACAATAAATCATGCAGTTTATTAAGTATTATTTACCAATTATAAAAATAATCTGAACTGAAATGAAATAGGGCATCTTAATTATTAATTGACAATTAGCTATTATCACCTCGAAAATTAGGGAAAATATAAAAAAATTATTACTTTAGCCTACAACAAGGTAATAGTATCAATTTAAAGTAGATAATTTTTACAATGTTTGTCCAGAAATAACCTTGATTTAATTCCAAAAACAAACCTAAACGTTTTATAATATTTACTAATGATTTAAAAGATACAGCAATTCACTCATTGACAAATAAAGCAATTATCTTAGTTAGAAGAGATCTCATAAAATTTGAAAGATAATATCATGACTCAGTTACAGGCATCAATTTTATTTTGATTTTACAATAAATTATTTATTATATAGAAAAAAAGACTCTGGCTTTAAATGCGAGATTTACAATTTACCCTTATTATCTAAATATTTAGCCTTGTTTAAATGTTAATTAAATATCCTCTAAAAAGAGTGATTTATCGGCTTTTGGTCAGTTAATTTATCATAACAATCAACTTATAAGCATGAAGTATAATTACAGTTTGTTTTCTACCTAGAAAGTCAAATTCTAACAAATCAATCGATTCACCCTTTAATGGGCATTAAGATATAAAAAATAAACATACTAGCTAATCCATAATGTGGTTGACTTTCTTTTCCTCTATCTCTATAGAGGTGTGTCTCATTTCTTTGATCCCAATGATGTCTCTCCGAATACTGGCTTTTAATTAAAATTAGTTTTGGTCCAAACTAAATTTATCTTAGCATCAGATTTTATCAGACATTATAAATGCGATGCATAATTTGCAAGCAGTATCATCGATGACAGGCACTATTATTTCACTCGCAATGACAGAGATAGAAATACCCTATGAAGATGTATTAGACTTGGCTCACCCAGAATCAATCATCATGTCCCAGGAGGCCATTACACTACTCACCAATTACTAATTTATGAATCGGAAATTTAAATAAATTAAAAATTCAATTTTATAATGTAGATTCTACAATTTTCATAAACTCCAATGATCTACTTAATATTTTAAGTATAAAGACCATGCATTAAAAGTTATTAAAGTAGGTAAGAATGCACATCTTTATATTCGATATATGCAGATAAATTTGTGATTAGAAATCCTCAAACTTTATCTAGATTGTTATTGATACTACTAAAGTTATTTATCATTAATAATGAAAAAAATGATGTAGGAGCCATCGCATATATAACATGACTATTATTACCGAGAGTTAATTGTTAACTAATTTTATAAGTATTTTGTGATTTCTATAAAGAAATATCGTTTAAATAATCATTTGATTCCTTCTTATTAATTGAGTTGTTTTTCACAATGAGCTAGATATAAATTAATCTATATACCTTTACCTAATTTAGTTGGTAAGTAATTTGGTTTGATTTATAAAGACTTATCGAAATAAACAATAGCTTCTTTATACCTTAATAATTATTGTAAGCAATTTCCTAAAGGAATAGAATGTAACAACCTTTTTAATAAATTTTGTAGGAAGAATTCGGGTCACAATTCAATGATTAGTCAAAAAATTTTAGAGCTTCTTCATATTTGCCCATTGCAGATAATATATCACCTATATTAGAAAAGAATATATACCTTTTGCATTTAACGAATTGGAATTCTTTGAATCTATTGACAAAGCTTAATCAATCCATTATATTGAATCATTGAAATTATGTAAATAATATAAACATTCAGCTATAAATTTACTTTGATTATTTATACCTTTTATATACATTGAATTCAGAGATTTTGAATCTATAGACAAAGCTTTATCTGCCCATATAATTGCATCTTGGTATTTACTTAGCATATATAAACACCATGCTAATACATTTGCATATACATTAATACCTTTTTCTTTTAATGATTATAAATGATTTTGATTTATAAGTAATACAGCATCCAAGATTTTGATTGCCTCTTCGTATTTTTTATCCTGTTATAATTTGTTTGCTAAATTAGACATCTAAATACCTTTTTAATATAATTCCTCCGCTTTTTCTTGTTCTTCTTAACTTTTTGAAGAGATATTGAACTGTTCCCCAGTTTATAGGATACTTGTGATGATGTTTAAATTTTAGTTGAGTTTCAATTCTTAAATTTGTTTTTTTATTTATATGATTATGTTGTTTTAACATGCCTCTTGTACATTTTATAAGCATATTTTGATTTCATCATATTTTATTAATTAATCTAAGTTTTAATTCAATTGCTTTGTATTTAACTGTTACAATCTCTCTATAAATAATTGTTATTTTTTTCTCAATTCTTAATTTAATTCAATAATCAGTTCTTTTATCTCTTTAATCATCAAACATAATTGTGATATTAAATTCTCATTTTCTAGCTCAATATTACGAAAAAGCTCATTTAATTGGATTAAATTCTTTTCATCATTTGGATGAGCTAAGTGATTTTAGGGATAATAAATTCTACGAACTTTACTTACTTTATAGCTTGCTAATTCTACCAAGCCATCTTATTCTATTTAGCATTTGACTCGAAGCCCTCCAAGGCATCTTATCTGATTCATATATTAATTTTATTTTGAGTTCTATTAAATTACTTCACCCCGTCTCATATGAAAAGATTTGATTTATATTATAAATTAATTATTCATGTTAAATTACATAATATTTATTCTATTTATCTGGAGCTTGGTATTTCATGTAAAAATATAAGTATTATATCTATGGTTTATTTGATATTTCTTAAACTATGTATTCTTATTTTAGCATTACCCATTGAAGTAGGTCCTGTAAGAAAAATTGTGATAAAGTAAAAATTAAACTTTCTATTTATTTTTCTCATATTACATATTCAAATCAGAAATCATCAAGTGCAAACAATCCTCAAATGATTCCGTAAGATAAAAATTCATTAATTAAAAAAAGAAATTTGATATATCTCCTCAATTTTTTCATGTTTTTTTAATGGCTCTTTTCTTAGATTAGTCTTATTATTTTATGCTCACCTAAATACCTTTTAGAAGGGAATTAATTTATTCTATCTTATTTGAAATAATAATTTTTAATGGCACCTATTTTTCCAAAGCATGGTAGTTCTTAAAATTAAAAAACTCTTATTATTTGCTGTTTTGAACAATAAAATCTATCCTTGTCAAAGCTATATATCCATAATTGACTTTTGATGTTCTATCATCCGAATCTTCATTAATTAATCTAATCTTTCCATCTTGTAATAATGTATAAAAATACAGTTACAATACAATTCAAAATTTTATTGATGGTTTGATTTGAAATTTATTAACATAATTAGTAAAATTATAATTGTTATTAGAGATGTATTCCGTAGCTGTTGATAAAAATATTAATGCTTTTTAAGCCAATTATTTCTTTATTATGTAATACATGATCTGGATTTGCTTCTTAGATATATGAATATGCGAAATTTTTAGAAGGAGCAATTTTAAGAAAATAATCTAATTTTTTGGCAATGAACTAGAATTTTAATAATTGAAAAATATCTTCATTGCAGAAAACCAAATACAGTAAACATAGTATAATCACAAGGAGTATTATTTGGTTAGAAATTTTTAGATCATTTTTATTCAATAAACAAGATTTAATTATTAAAGGGGTAGTATTAGATTAATATATATATATCTTCAAAAAATATTATTAAATAAAATGAATTTCTTCTTTTATAATGATTATTATAATATACTAATTTCTCTCTGTTTTATAAAATAGAATCTATTTGATTAATTCATGCAATAAAATCCTGAAAATAGCTATTAATTGAGATTTAAATATTATTCTCCTCGTATCATATTTTCATTATAATTAATAGTAACAAAAAAAGATATTTAAATGTTTAATCCTGAAATTGAAAATGATGGAGAAAAAAATAATACAAAAGTAAAAATTCAGGCGTATCCTATAATAATTTGTTATAATACTTAAACAAAATTACCAATTGAATTAAACTAAGTCTAATATACTGTTAATATTTAACCTGGTTTAGCAGTTGTGCATATTGATCAAATTTATTCAACTGAGAAAAACACAGATCAATGCGAATTAGAATATTTATTTACAATAGATCAAAACTGTGCTGTAACTAAAATGATTGTAGAACTTGGAGATTAGAAGGTTTATGGAGTAATAAAAGAATTAGAGGAAGCAAAAATAGAATATCAAAAGGGAATAAATGAAGGAAAGACAATGGTTATAAGCGAAGAGGATTCAAAAATATCTAATATTAAAAAAGTAAAAATTGGTTGTTTAAGCCCTGGTAAATCTTTAAAAATTCAATTTGAATACATTAGACCTTTATAGGTTTATCTGAATCAATTCTGGAAATTAGAGTTATCCCCAATGATAGATCTAAGCTATTTAACAGTTAACGAATTACAGAATACTTCTCAAAATTATGCCTAAAAATACTCTTTTATGAAAAAGTATGTTAACTTAGAAGCTATCAATTTAAATTACAAGTAAAGTATTACTGTGAATATTAACATTGATAAACCAATTACGTATGCTAAGTCTCCAACTCACTCAATATTGTTAAATTCTGATATCAATAGAAAAGAGAAATAAATTGATTTATCAACCCCAATTAACTAATTGACTGTTACCCTAGATAAAAAGGATCCTTAAAATATGGCACCAAATAAAAAGTTCGAATTATTATTTTCATCTAACCAAATTAATACCCCATTTTCAATGTTAAGTCATACAAACAATGACGCTTTACAACATATTAGATACTGTGCTACTTTGACCCTTATTCCAAAATTTAATGAATTTCCAATAGATGACGCTTATCAATCATACTTAAATGGTTTAAACTTACCTTAGTAGTCAAAAATCTAAAAGGGTAGTTATATTTTTTTAATTGATCGTAGTGGTTCTATGGATGGAATAAGAATTCAAAAAGCTAAGCAATCTCTGATACTATTTTTGAAAAGCCTCCCAGAAGATTGTTTGTTTAATATAATTTCATTTGGTAGTGAAGTTATAAAAATGTTTGATATTCCACAAGCATATAATTCACAAACATTATAATAAGCAATAAAGTAAGTTCAAGAAATGAATGCAGATTTGGGTGGAACTGATATCTTTTAGGCAATGGTCTAAGGCATTTATGATGACAATTATTAAAAAATCAAAGATTGCCCCTAAACCCTGAATGCATTTTTACTGACAGATGGAGAGGATTCTCCAAATAGGATCATTTAATTAGTATCATAAAACCAGAGGCCTGAAACTCGTATTTATACATTAGGTATTGGGAATAATTGTAGTGAGTATTTAGTATAAAGTTTAGCTGAAGTTGGAAATGGGAAATGTTAATTAGTAGGAGATAATGAGGATATTAATTCTAAAGTAATTGATTTATTAGAAGATTCTCTAACTTATTATTTAAAGGCATTTTCATTAGTACATAATATTGAAATGGTTTCACAAATTATCCCTGATCCAAAATCAATAACTTAATTAAAGAAAAATTAAGAATTAACTTTACAAATATTATTTTCAAAGAATAAATAGGAAAATTTAGAATTCAAGATAAACTGCTATGATCCACAAATGAAAAAGTAAATCTCCTATGAAGTTAAAATGAATCTGAAAAGTTCGAAAGAGAATGAATATTTCCACAAAATAGCTGCTCACAGATTGATAAGGTATTATGAAAAATCAATTTACCTATAAGTTAAACAAATGGATATGGTGATGATTAATTAAAAAGTCCTCAAAGATTTGGATATCATAAATTTGTCATTACAGAATTAAATATTATGTTCCAAAACAGCATTTATCTGCGAAGTCTGTTAGGATGAAAAAAATCTTTAAGAGCTTATCAAGAAAAAGCTTGTGATTAACAAAATACAATATGACGACATATATGATGAACTTGAAGAATCTGAGAATTGCGAGTATGCAGATGACGATGATGATGATGATGACCAGGGTAATGGCTTTGGTTTTAATCAGGATGTGTAATGTTGTATAATATAAAATTATGAGATGGTGCAATAAAAATATGATATGGCTGGGAGCGATGAGGAAAGCTATTCTTAATAAGAATAAATGAATAAGGTAATTTGCTCAAATAAAGGAAAACACTAGGATTAGTAGATGTTATCATATATTGAATTAATTGACTACATACAAGCAGATGGTAGTTTCCTTTTAGAAATTCATATTGAAGAATAATTAAAATTAAGCAAAATAGATAATAAATATCATTTAGAGGATCTTTGTTGGCCAACCGTAGTTTCTCTTTTTTATTTAGAGTTATTTTGCCAGGCTTTTAAGAGCTCTTGGTAATTAATTTATAATAAAGCCATAAATTACTTATAAAGTAAAGGCGTTAATTATTTTTAGATAAAAACAGAATGCATTTCAGATTATGGAAATCTTTTTAAGATTTGAAATATTTGAAATAACAATAAAATTGCATTCAAAATAAAAAACAATTTAAATCATTTTTTCTTTATTTTTATCTTGTTTTATTCTTTAAACCTATAAGCCCCTTTAACTTGATACATTTTAACAAAATTTCCTTGAAATAAATAAATAATGAGTAATTCTTAAATGAGTTAATCTAATTATTTAAATTAATTTCCTTTAAATGATTATAATTTATAGTCGATTATCAATTATTATATGTGGTTTTTCTTTTTAT